TTTTGAATGAATTATCTATTTTTGAAGTGATCCGATTCTGTGCTTCATTGCCCACATTGATGCTGGTTGGTCAGATTCACTTCATATAACATCTTGAAGGCTGATCTGCGAGTGTTCCACACCTATTTTGTTTTACATTCTGCAACATAGAAACAAAGTTCTCAAGGACCCTGTTTGGACCAGAATTGGCGCATACCAGCAGGTTCTGAGGACATCAACACAGCACATCGAGAAGACGATAAAAAATACGTAATCTGGCATAATTTGCACCTCGAGACTTAAGTTGGACATGCAAAAAGAACATGGAAAAGACGTTGTTGCAGTGTGTCTTTGCTCAACAGGTCTAATTTCTGGCACCTGTGTTAGCGGTGACGCCCAAAAAGTTACCCAAAAAATGTTTAGCATCATACTGACGTCTAAGTGGGGTCATAGTTAGAGGTCCACGTTGCAGATCTACTTTACACATCCTGACGATTTCTAAAATTGATCTTGGACCAACCGACTAAAGCAGAGCATGTCTCAGCCAGTAGAAGCTAACAATTAGCATTAGCAATCGCAAAACATGCCAGAACGTTTTCGGGCTAGTGTTATTTGTGGATATAAAACCTCAACATTGCAAAGAAAACAGTAGTATTGCTGTTAACCAATCAGGGGCAAGATGTCTGACCATCAGGACTAAAATCCTGACTTTTTCCGATCACCACCTCTTCAGCTAAATTCGACTCCCTGAGGGCGCCAGAGCTTGTTTTCCACAGAAACACTCATGAAGCATTAATTTATACTAGAGACCACAAATGTGTTGAAAAAACAAACTCGGTTTTTACAAAACAAAATCTCACTAGAGAAAGTGTAAATCTTTGTTCATAGCAACAGAAACCAGACGAGACCAGGTCTGTTTAACATGCTGTGTGTGGAAACAACACTTTGAGGAGTTCAACACCTCAAAAATGCAGGTTTCCTCTTTGAAGTAACATGTTTTAGTAATCCGACCATTTATTAGACCAAACAAAAAGCTTGACAACACTGACAACTAGCAGTTTTGTAAAAAGTGGAGATGTTTCTCATGGCAAACAATGGATTCCACAGCAATGTTTATGTTCTTTTGAGCCGGGTCTACCAGATTTTTATTTTTACTGCCTGCAGAGGTATTTGAAGTTCAATGGGGCACTGATTTATTTTCTCAGCATGTTACAATTTTCTTTTTTACATTGTGTGACCTTTTCAGATTTACATCTTTTGTTTGTTTTTAAATCCCATTTTTGCACCTACTGAATGATCAAGTTTATTTTAAAAAATAATCTTTGTGTGCTTGGTTTTACCTCCTCCTGATACAAAGTGTTGCCTGATTTATGTGTGCAAAAAAACTATAGTTTTATGTTCTTTGTATTTTTTTTCTATTTTACAATAACTTACTAATCTTTGTGTTGAACCTTTTCTTTGCACAGTAGTTGAATTTAAAGAAATGAATTATTTTCTAAGAAATCAAACAGAAAAAGAAAATAAGACAAAAATAATAAATGAAACAACATCATGAGACATATTTATATGCGTGAACATTTCTGCACTTCACCTGCAGAAGAGTGAAAAAGGTCTAGGTCATGCATGTTATCAGTAATCATGAAGTTGCAAAGTTGAGCAGGTTCCCAACAAGAAAAAGATGGAATGTTGCTGCCTAATGTTTAAAGCAGAGATATTACTACGTTTTTGCCTGATTTTACCCACAAACTCTGCACCTGTCTGCTCTAGTTGAGAGCTGTTTTTGTGGTTAGTGGGGAAAAAAATTGCACGAGTTAGAGATTCATTTTTGGGATGTGCTGGAGAAGGCTTTGTGCAGCGGTCAGACTCCGCCATCATCAAAGCAAGATCTTGGTGAAACATGAATGCAACACTGGTTGGAAATAAATCTGGTGACGTTGAAGAAGCTTATTGAAACAACGCTGCAGCAAATGTGTGCTGTAGTCAAAGCTAAAGGCAACCCAACACAACATTAGAGTGTGTGAGCTTTTTTATTAATGGTGAAAATTTTTGACTGTGCAATCTGTGGAAGTATATAGTCTGGCCATGACAAACATGGTCGTGGGGTGGAGTCAAACGGTCTCTGCATGCTTTTGGACACACTAGAAACAGTCAGAGCAACCAACAGCGTATGATGGATGATGATGATAATGCACAAGTTTACATAAAGGAGTAATAAATATCTGTTGCTAGCATGACTCAGCTGCATCTTTCACTAAAGCAGAAACCTCAGTGATTAATTATCCATTTCACAGTTAAATGTTGAGAGTGTGTTCCTACACACTCCCTACACACACACAACTGCAATAAAGATTAAATAAGTATAAAATCTGTATACTGCAGTACTTCATCATTGTCTGGACTGTTGATTCAAGCAGTAGTGGCTGTTTGCCTTTGAGCTGATTATTCTGCAGCCAAGCATTCAGAAATATGGCAACATTTTTCAGGAATGAAACCTGACCAGGTGCTGTGTTTGTGTTGCACCTTCGTTTATGAAAATAAGTTAAGGAGAGACAAACTGCTGCAGACAAAGTTTCCTGCTTTTACCCTAATTGTGTATCACTGCAGATAGAAAAAGTGACACATTTGTCTCTAAAAATGTTGTGAAAAATAAACATTTAGGTTTGTATGAAACATTTGTTTTACCATTTTTGGGAAAATTCTGCACATTCTGTCTTGCATGTTTATTTACATTTATTTATTTATTTATTTTTTATTACCGGTCGGTTGTGGTGAGGGCTAACTTCTGTGCTTTTTTTAGCTGCTGCTGAAGATAGAAGCCCCAAGAGACAAAATAACCAAAGTGTGGCCCAGGGGCATTTTCAGCCCTCTGTGTGATTTTATAAAGCCCCCAACATCATATAAAATGTTGTAATTTTGACTTTAAACGTTAAACAAGCTGAAAAAACATTTTAAATGATTTGGTGGCATTTAAAGGTCCGGTGTGTAAAAACATTTGACTCTTTAGCGCCACGCAGTTCACAGAAGGTATTGCAGCTACAGTAGCCCACATGCAGCAAAAAGCCAATGTGTCATGATGGCGGCTGCGGAGGAGAGGGTGACACTGTAGCACTGACAGCTACTTTGCTACATTCAGCGTCTTTCTCACGGAGCCGAGAGCCCTCTGTCCGTCCTGTGAATGTATGAAGAACGAGCCTGATAAGGCCTTTGCAACAGCTCCAGTGGTGCCGAATCTACAATGTCTGCCAAGTCAATCGTCTCCCTCTCCCCCACAGCCGTGCATGCATCACCACAGTTATAAATGACTTCCAGCTCTCAGTCCAGCGATCACATGCAGTTAGAGCAGGGCAAGCAACCCGAGGGGAAGGAGGAGAATTACCCCAATCCAGCAAGGCTGCCACGGAAAGAACTGGCACCACCCAATGTTTAGAGGGAGGATGAGGACGTTCATGTCAAAGCGCAAAAGCAAATCGTGGCACATTATATCTGATTTGTCCCTAAACAGCTACGGGATTTCAGGATGCTGCATGGCTATGGAGCGCTGACCATGTGTATGTAACATATGAAATTACAAGCTTATAAGAATACTTAGACTAGATGCTGGTGAGAAATAATAAAAGGAAAAAAGATTGTGAACAGATACACAGAATTTAAAAGTAAACAAGTAAAAATATTACACAAATCTGAAGAAGATCACTGATCTCAATATCTTCATAGATGTTGATAAAATCCCACAAGACAAGTAATTTACAAATGTCTGTTGGGAGATGCATTTTCGTACTTTTTCAGTATTTTTTCTCTACGAGAAACAGGTCGACTGTTAAATTTCAACTCAATAACACTTTACCCTGCAGGCGGTATTGACAGAGACATTGACAATCCCTGCCTTTGACTTCAACAAACAAAATACAATAGTGCTGTCTTTGCGGTTGAACCGGACTGTCTGCATTCTTTCTAGGTCGGGCTTGCAGAAAGTTGCAGCTGTAGACATCTGCAGGTTATTTCAGGTGGTTTTTGGAGGGGATTATAATTTCATGCTTAATTTGACCAACAACATCTTTGATGTTTGCACATTTTCTTCTTTCAGCCTTTCACTAGCCACTCCCACTTTCTCGTGCACGGCATATTTTCACTAGTTAGGATATTTTTTCCTCTTATGTCTCTTCTTGTTGTTCTTACAGCAACACTTTTTTGTCTTTAATTTCTTCAGCACATTCCACTGCTTTGTGCAATAAACTTCTTTAAAAAACGTTGTTTAATTATGAACTATTGCACGTCATTTTGATACTTTTGAATGAAATCTACAAAAATGTCATGCCCTAAGCTCAGTTGTTTGTGTTACCTTGTTGATAAAAATGAAATGCAAAATATCTATTTTGAAAGAAATTGTACTATGCAGATCTGTTTTTGTAAAAGAATGGTTCCAGTCTGGTTCAGAAATTTGTCAAATTCATCAAACAATTCAGTAGTTTTGTTTGTATTTGCATCAATAAATCAATTTACTTTAGGTAAGAACTTCTTAGAACTTTGGACGAGCAACTGAGTCACTATTTGATATCTATTTTTTTTTTCAGTTTGATGAAAATTATGACTAATTGAAGCGTTAGAGTTAACTAGTTACATTTTGATTTAAGCCCCTAAAATTGCCCTTTTTTAATTTAAATGTATTTTTCAGACTAATCATTTTCAATTCAATAATAATCAAAGATTCCACAAAGTTTTTAACAAATGGGATTGCATTTCAATCCATTAGATTTTTTAAATTACCTAGTCTCAGCGTTAAAGACACTCAATCATATTTAGATCTTAAATATAAAATAAACATTAAATTTATATTATTTTTTAAATAAATCTATTAATTTATATCCCACTTCAATCTGCAATATAATATTTGAAACTAAATATAAGGTGATTAATCTAAAACCATGTCCTGTTTTGATTATTTAGGTCAATTTCTGCAGCAGTGGGGTAATTTGTGACTGCAATACATTAGAAGGCCGCTAGATGTCTCTAACGGGGTGATTAGGTCCTAGTGGGACCGAGAAGAAGATAAGCAAGATGGCTATTGCTAACGCTAACTAGCAGTTGACGTTAAAATGTTGCGTTTTTGATGTTTTGGGTTGCGTATTCTCCCAACTTGCTTAAGACGGGGCTCTTACACCTACCCCCTGGTTCTCTAAAGGCAGAGGAAGGTAAAAAAATATTAGTTTTTGGTTTTAAAGAGGTTAGTTTAGTGTTTTTCCAAGAAGATTTGTTGTGTTTCGTCTCCGACAGTCATCTGTCAGTCAGTTAGGGGAGCCTCTGCTCTGATCCACGGTTCTGCCATGTTCCCAGTTTTTAATCAACATAAACTGATGTGTTGTCATTTTATTGGCGCAAGCTAAGAACAAATAAAGTCTAAAAAGGTATTTATTGATATAACTCGCAGAGAACTATCAGCCTTCGTCATTGCTGAAGTTAACCCGATTATTGACATTCTCCCCTTTTTCTGTTAGACTGATAAATTGCTGCTAAACTGTTGTTGTTCCGATGCCTTTTAATCAATTCAGACAATTGTTTTCGTAGAATAAAACTTAATTGACAACCCAGGCAGGACTAGAGACAGTTTAAAAGTCTTAGACATCAGGGATTGGAGGCTTTAAGACTTTTTATTATATTCCAAACTTAATTTAGGTTCTGGGATCAGAAGGATCTATAGACTGAGTGTCTGGAAGCTTGAATTTCTGATACACTTTTACAAACTGGTGCAATTGATTTCTTATTAATATTTTATAATAGCGTTGTTAAATATCAATAAATATCAGTGCATTAGCTAAATGTTTCTATTTAAACAAGAATTCTGATCAAGTAATACATTATATTTGATGTATATTTTAATGAAGCCAATGGCTGGTGTTGCTTTTCCTCCTTGTTCCAGGGTCCGTGGGAACGTGCAGCCATGGCAGCTCCTGTGAACGTCCAGACTCCCAGTAAGACCTGGGAGCTGAGTTTGTACGAGCTGCACAGAAGCCCACAGGTGAATCTCAGTAAAGTATCTGGAGAATGTTGTTGACCCTAACCATAGCCTGAAGCGATTAGAGCATTGCATCAGGTCTGACAGGTAAAGGCTTACAGGTGTTGCTGCAGGTCTGGAGTGGAACTCTTGCACCTGGGTTCTGGTCCTGCTGGGTTCAAGGCTTCAGGTCAGAATTAGGGACATGTTAAAGGGTTTTGCATCGTCTTACGGTGAGAGCTTAGTTTTAGCCGTTAAACCCAACATGATCTCGGCTGGGATCGGTTTGTGCCAAACTGTGAAAAAGAGTTAAAGTTTAGGTAAAAATTCAATAATGCACAAACGTTAAACTTACATCAGACCGTTGAAGTCTGATAGTTTAAGTTTTATCACTAGGATTTTCCATCATTTTATGTGTTGACTTTGTGTTCTAGCTCTAGTCTAAAAGAAAAGTTTCAGAACTGTGAAGGCCGTTAGAAAAACCCGTGACCTTGGCACAAGAGGAAAACATTTCTGTAACGTGATTTAGTCTTTTCTAGAATAAAAGAGTAATTTGAACTTTCGTGTCAAGGAGGCCATCGTGGATGGGACAGAGGTGGCGGTGTCTCCTCGTTCGCTGCACAGCGAGCTGATGTGCCCCATCTGTTTGGAGATGCTGAAGAACACGATGACCACCAAAGAGTGTCTGCATCGCTTTTGCTCCGAGTGTATCGTCACAGCGCTGCGATCTGGGTAAACTCCCAAGCAGCAGAAACATCAGATCGTTTACATTTTTAACACACAAGAATAAAAATCATTGGATAACACAAGTAACGCCCGATCTTCACTCTGATACCTAAGGAACAAGGAGTGTCCGACCTGCAGGAAGAAGCTGGTCTCCAGACGTTCGCTGCGCCGGGATTCAAACTTCGACGCTTTAATCTCCAAGATTTACCCCAATCGTGAGGAGTACGAAGCCCATCAGCGCAGCGTCCTCGAGCGACTCAACAGGCTGCACAACAAGGAAGCGCTGAGCTCCAGCATCGAGGAGGGTCTCCGCCAGCAGGCCCGCTACAGGTCCGAGGGGTGGGGGAGGAAAGGGCAGATGGCTACAAGTGTCCCCAAGCTGATGAGAAAGCGGTTTTCTTTAATCTAGTTGGACTGTTTTTACTTGAGCAGAAAAGTAGCTTAGTGAGCAAACGGGAGCAGATTTATAGTAACGCTAACTAGCAGTTGACGTTAAAAATGTTGCGTTTTTGATGTTTTGGGTTGCTAGTTCTCCCAACTCAGGGTATCCGCGGGTCCTTAAAAAGTCTTAAATTAGCTTTTCCTAATTTAAGGCCTTAAAAGTCCTTAAAAATGACAAATAATCCTTAAATCCAGTTTCCAAAGGTCTTAAATTACCAAAGACCCAATAAACAAGATTCTTTTATTTCTATAAAAATTCTGTGAATTTCTAGTTAGCGTTCAGCATTTTTTGTGTATGATGATGACGTAAGCGGAACCGTACGCAGTCAGTTGATTGTGAAAGGGGGCTATTTTTTTTAGATGAGCACATTAGCTGGTTACGCTAGTGGGAGCTTGCGCCATGGGAAAGGGCAAGTTTAATGGTAACTGGATGGCTAATCCCACGTTCGCGACGTGGTTAGCGCCGGTTCCAGGCAATAGCTGGAAATTATAGCTTAAATTTAATTTTTAAAATAGCTTAAATTTGGTCAAAGTGGTCTTAAAAAGTCTTAAATTTGACTCCCTTAAACCTGCAGATAACCTGCCAACTAGCTTAAGACGGGGCTCTTACATCCATCCCCTGGTTCTCCTGGGTCATAATTTAGATAAAAGGCTAAACTTACATAAACTGGTTTTAGTTTTGTTAAAATAATTTATTTACGTTTAAATGCTCCAACGATCACCAAATAACATGTTTTGTTTACTTTTATATAAATAGAAATTTGTTTTTAAATGAATGATTTAAACTATTTTAAAACAGATAAAGGAGTTTCCTGCCCCCCATCAACAGCTCTCTGGCGCCATCTTGTGTGTGTTTTCTCTTCTTCTTTCTTAATTTCTCTGATTCACCTAAATTCCTTTTGAAAGCAATATTAGAAACCAAGAAGCTGCAGTAAAACATAAATCTATTATCCTCTGAAGCTGATCGTGCTTTCCTCCTGCAGAAACCACCGGGTGAAGAAGCCAACTCAAGAGAGTGACAACACCACCTTCAGCGGCGGTGAGGATAACGGCGACTCCCGTTCACACCTGTCCCATGACTCCGCCCCTTCGAACACCCCCCACCCCAGCGGTCAGACCCCCCCTGAGGCCGGGCCGAGCCGGAAGCGGCAGCGGGCGTCTGACTACGGCTCGGGCCCCGAGGCGGACAGCGGGAGCCCGACTCCTCCTCTGAGACGGACGAAAGAGAGGCCGGCCTCCGAGATCGAGCTGGTGTTCAGACCCCACCCCCAGCTGGTCCACCCTCAGGACTACAACCAGACCAGGTGTCCGAGTGTTACGACTCGTCTGCTCACTCGTGACGAGGTGATCCTAACATTTGCGTGTTCTGATGCTTCCCAGGTATGTGAAGACAACAGCTAATGCCACCGTGGACCATCTGTCCAAATACCTCGCGCTGCGCATCGCTCTTGAGGACAGAAGAACCGACGGAGAGGTGGAGGACAGAGGAAGAGAGGAGGAAGGAGGGGCACAGAGGGGGGCAGAGGGAGGAAGCGAGAGTGGAGGAACATCGAGGGGTGGAGAAGGCTCGACTCTGAGTAACATCAGTGAGAAACAGTACACCATCTACATCACGACGAGAGGAGGACAGTTCTCTGTGAGTCGCGTCTCGTTTCTCAGCTTCAGTGTGGAAACAAAAACTGTCAGCAGCTGTGATGAAGTCTGAAGATGATGGAGCTGCTTTAAAACTGCAGTCGTTTTCCTTTTTCCTATTTTGACTTTTTAGTCTTAAGCACCTTGTGATTTATTTCTGGAAAGGCGATATATAAAAACACTGCCTACTCCTTTTTAATGTGTTTTCTGTTACCTGCTATCATACCTCACACACAACGTCCTGATTGGCCTCAGTTTGGAGAAATAGCTTCTACACCAGGCAGGACTGATAAGCTAATGGTTAGTGCTGCAGTCCTAAAACGGCTCCATTATCAAACGAAATTTGATGTCAAAATCTAATTTGCTTAATGTTGAAGCCCAGCGTTGGCTTTTTGGGTTATTGTTATTGTTTTAAAACACAAATCATGTAACTTTCTGCAGTTTTTTGCCTCTTTGTTTACATTCTTCACCTCCATCTTTGCTCCCAGACTCTCAACGGTTCTCTGACTCTGGAGTTGGTCAACGAGAAGTACTGGAAGGTCAGGAAGCCTTTGGAGCTGTACTACGCTCCCACCAAAGAACAGCAGCAACCACAAGCCCCGCCCCCACCGCGGCAGAAGTCTCCTCAACAGGACGGGTGAATGAGAGCAGAGCTGCTTCATTCTCCCTCAGCTTATGCTCGTTAACTCTAGCATTAAAGTATCTGATCACATTTTTATACTTTTATTTTGAAAAAGTGACTTCTGACCAGTTAGTAAAGGAAAAGGTTCAGCAGCGGAGACAAAAATAAAAGCTGGGATTCCTCCTGATTAGAAATTGTAACGTTCGGATATTTCTTTCCTGAGATGTAATTTTTTTTTTTTAAGAATTATTTTGTTTTGATACGATTTCTTTAGTTTGTTACAATCCCAGGTGACTTGGTTTGGTTTTAGGAAGCTTTGCTTATTTATCAAGACCCATTTCTGATGCCAGGTATTTGACTTTGTGCATACACACACAAATATGTGTATAATTTCCTAAACTCAAGTAATATTACATTATATGGAGCTTTGAGGCACCCAAAGTACTTAAGAGGTTCCATGATTTACCGATGGAGGTAGGCTACATCATAGCGTGAATACCACTCTGACCACTAACACTCATACTGGTAAAGTGGGCGGAGTCTTTCCTGAAGACACAAGGCACCACCCACCCAACCTCTGCAGCTAACAGCAGGTGAACTTGTCTAGTTGTCAAGACTATTTTCATCTAAATGAAGCAGTTTTTGTTACGTTTACAGGAAATGTGATTGAATCACGTTTTTAATGTTAAATGTTCTACAGCAGACCCATTTATCCAGGTAGCTGGATTCACGTTTTTCTGCAAATAAGGTAATTCACAGCTTGCATTAAGGTTTACTTCTCAGAAACATTCCTTCAGTTTTCTCTGCAGTTGGACACAAAACAGCTTCATGTTTCCAGCTTCTCCCGACGACGCGGTTCAGTTGGAGTCATTTTCCTTTCCTCTAAATAAGCCATAGGCCCCAGAGGTCTGATCTGGGTTGATCCTGTTCTTTTGCACTTTCTAACCCTGCGGCTGGACTTTTTCTACTCCTAGCGTGGGGATGTGTAACAGAATGCAATAAGAATCCAGAATAAACCATATTTTCAAACCGACTTCAGTCTTACTATAAATGTGTCAGCATCATTTTAAATCATCAGGATAAAATCAGCACAGAAGGGTTTTTAATTGTGTTTTATTGAAACAAAACAAGGCCTGGGGGGAGTTTACTTCTTCTTGGACACGCCGACGGTGCGACCGCGACGGCCGGTGGTCTTGGTGTGCTGACCGCGCACACGCAGCCTGTGGGACAGGAAGTGTAACAAAAGTCAGAACAGACGATTTAGTACAGTTTCAAACTAAATTTGCTCCTGTTGGGCCAATTTACAGGTTTTCCTTCAAAGTAATGCAACTGTTTTTGGTTAAATCAGTTACACCAAGCTACATTCATAACTCTAAACTATTCACAGCATGACAGAAATAACAGGCATTCTGTTCAATCTAAGGTTAAATTAGATCAGGAAGCTGCAGCCATCAAAGTCAGGATTTCTGCCTAAAAATTTGAAACTTTTTTTCTCTAAAACTGGTAATTATGTTTGTTTGGGTCAAAATTACTGTAACAAAGTTAAACTTTCCCCACAAAATCCTGCAAAGTTACAGTTTTACGCAGAGAAAAGTTTCTACCCCAGTAACGACGTGTTTAAGCTTCTTAAATGAAGAGTTTCTCAGCAGCAGTTCAAGCTCTTCCAGGACAGGCTTCCTATGTTTACCCTCATGTCTCAGAGCAGCTGTTCCTTAACTCATTCACTGCCATTGACGACTAAAGTCGTCATTTTAAATCCAACCATTCACTGCCAATGCATGTTTTTACTGTGTGGGCGTCGGACGAGCCCCCGCACCGTGAGAACAAACATCTCATCTCTAAAGCTGATCTACATCTGCGTAAGTCACACGTTACGTGATCAGGAAGCAGGAGTGTTAGGAGATCGTTTTGGGCCACTGCTGTCCACAATTCAACAACGGATTATGAACGAACGGATAACGCTCGAAACACGCGGAGTCTTCCTGATGTAAGAGGTGAGACTCCGCTTTGTTTTGGTTGTTTTGGAGTCGACATCATCCTAGTGTGCAACGTTCTGTGACTCTTAAAAAAAACAGTAAAAACGGTGAGAAACGCCAGCAGCGAAGGGCTTTACTGATCAGGAAACGGCTGGCAGTGAATGAGTTAAAGAGTTGAACACCTTTTGGCTGACTCAGCATTCTTAACTGTAGCTTAAGTACAGACTAAAAATGCACCAGTCAGATAACGGACGGGTAAAGCAGAGGAAGCATCGATGACGTTTCTCCTCTTCACTGGACAAATTAAAGTAAAGACTCCATCAGATCTTACCCCCAGAAGTGTCTGAGACCACGGTGAGCCCTGATCTTCTTCAGCCTCTCCAGGTCTTCTCTCAGTTTGTTGTCTAGACCGTTGGCAAGGACCTGAATGACAAATCCAACATTTGCTGTTAGTTTATGTGAAAAAAAATTTTAAGAACAGTTAACACAGTTTAAAATAATGGTTTAACGATTTAGAGCCAAACTGACTCAGACTGCTGTCACTTGCCTGGCTGTATTTGCCATCCTTGACGTCCTTCTGCCTGTTCAGGAACCAGTCTGGGATTTTGTACTGGCGAGGGTTCTGCATGATGGTCACCACCCGCTCCACCTGGGAATTAAAACCAGTCAGTTTAGTTATTTTGTCTGGTAAAACATCAGGTTCAGCTACTAACCAACACAATTATCTTTCCAATTAACTCATTCACTGCCAATGACAACTAATGTCGTCACTTGCATGTTTACTTGTTTTTGCGTCTGAACGAGCCCCCACACCGTGAGAACACCCACCCCAGCTCTAAAGCCGATCATCTGCGTACGTCATATGTAATCAGGAAGCAGAAAACCCGTGTGTTAGGAGATCGTTTTGGGCCGCTGCTGGAAAAAAAGAAGTGAGGCGCGAACCAGAAAAGCTTCTGCCGATCACAATTTGACAACGGATTATGCTCAAAACGCACGGATTCTTCCCGATGCAAGAGGTGAGTCTTCTCTTTGTTTTATCAGTTTTGGAGTTGACATCATGGAGCGCAACGTTCAGCGAATCTTAAAATACAGTATAAAACGCTGAATAACACTGGCAGCGAAAGGCTTTACTGATCTGGAAACGGCTGGCGGCTGGCAGTGAATGAGTTAAGTTAGTTAGGTAGTTACAAAATCATGCAGTTTTTGTTCTGAAGCCAACAACATTTTAAAGAGAAAGATACCAAGTTAAAAGTTGTTAGAAATCCTGCATATTTGGATTTGTTGGTTGATAAAATCACTGCAAAGTTCACTTACTAACAATCAAACATTGAAATTAACAATGTAGTCATCGCTCTCCTTTTTAAACTACCAGGAACCCACTGGTTCGGTTTTGAGCAAGTTCAGAGCCGATTTCACAAGTAAAACAAAAAATAAAATACACAAAAAGGTGTACATATTTAGACCTTTTTTTTTTTTTTCAGAAATCAGTTTATCTCAATGTTTTAGCAGAGGTTTCCTGTGAACATCCAATCTTCATGCTGGAACACAAACATGGTTGTACACAAACTCTCCTCTAGTCAAGACACCTAAACGGCACCGACAACAGCAGCAGTAACAACTTTTACTTTAAACGACTGCAAACTACCCAGCTGTTTGTGACGAAAACTACTTCTGATCTCTCAAACCTTCACAGCACCACCACAGCCGATTTCCCCTCCACCATCTAAAAACTTGCTCTCCTGGAAGCAATTTTTTAAATGCACCACGGTTTAAGAATTGCAGAAACGGTGCAGGTTTTCTGTTCTCACCTCCTCCTCAGTCAGCTCTCCAGCCCTTTTGTTGAGGTCAATGTCGGCCTTCCTCAGGACTACATGGGCATAACGTCTGCCAACACCCTTAAACCAGACAGAATCCAGTCTCAATGGTAAAAATCAGGCAACACAAACATTGAGAGTCTATTAACAAGAAATTTAAGTGGTATTACGAGACATAACATACCTTGATGGCAGTGATGGCGAAGGCAATCTTCCTCCTACCATCAATGTTCGTGTTGAGAACACGAAGAATGTGCTGGAACTTCTCAGGGATGACCAGAGACTGAAAACAGCACAAGTAAAACAACAACGATCAAAAACAGTTTTAACATTCTGTACAGACCCAGTACTCCACTAAAATAACTAAAATAAACCATTAATACACTCATCTTTACAAACAGGCAACTCAGTATGTTTAACAAAGCTGCTCAATGAAAATAACTAGTCTACTGCAACTGTCATGCTTTTGGCTCCATTGAGGCTCATTAGTATGGCTAGCTAAGCGCTAGTAGCTTTGAAAAATCCCTAAAACGTATAAGGATTACAGAACATAGGGGAAAATAACATAGCTTATTTGAGCTTTAACTGCTCCATTATACGTATAATTATGTTAAACAAAAATCAACTTGCGCTACTCCGCTTCTACCGGTCCCCACTGTCTGCTAGCATTGATGGCAAGTTACGCTGAAATAAGTCAAAATCAACACACATAACATCAGCCATATCACTAGAACCAACCCATACAAGCTGCATATAAATTATACCGTGTTTATAAACAATGAACAAACAAGCACAACGAAGGATGAACGTGGATTTCAAATCTACTCTGGTTTAAGATATACCATACTGACCATCTTGGAAGTAGGTTCCGTGCAAAGAGGAAGGCGCTTGTTTCTCGCGAGATTTTGGATCAGTTTTTGCCGGAAAATGATCCTTCATTTAAAAATGTCCGATAAGCAACTGGGTTTGCTAAACAAGTACATAAATTGCTAAAATACGTGATGCTAAAAAAATGTTTGATATCGTTATTGTACGTATTTATATCAAGCGACCTGAAATTTGAGATCACGTTTTTTTATTTCAAAACAGAATAAACATTTCGAGCTTCAGTAAGCGGAACTTTCGTTTGTTGTGCTTACGTTAGCATAAATTTCGCAGCCATGGCGGATGCTGTTTTGGGTTTTGTTGGAGCTGGTTCTGATGTAAATACAGGAGGAAACTCAACACAAAATGTCATGGCGTACCTACAAGACGAGGTGACATTTCATTATTATTAGTAGTGCGGGTCTGATTTGAAGAAACAACGTATTCAGCTCGTTAAAGTCTGTTGACAACTAATCATTTGATGAATCGTCATGAACCATGTCCCTTATCTCAAATGTTATTAATTTCTTTATCAATCTTCACCTGTAATTAGCTATAAATCTAAAGTTTGTCAAGTTTGTATGTGTAAGGTCTTAACCAGGAAATACAGTACCCATTAATTGTATGAAACTGTCGCATTTTGATAAAAATTAAAGTTATATTTATAAGAAACAGGAAAAGCAACTTTATTATGAGCTATGTTCATGAATATCTTGTATATTTTCTCGTTTCCAGTTTTTTTCAATCAGATTGTTGTGCAAAACAAAAAATCTTATGTAATAAAATAAATAGAAGTTGGAGTCCCCTCTCAAGTATTTGAATTTATTTTTATTATATGTGTGATTCTGTTTGTTTCTTTTTGCAGAAGACCGATGGAGACATCACCAACCTGAGCCTGGGAGAGCTGGACATCACCACCGATGAGTTCATCTTAGATGAAGTGGACAGTAAGGGCGCAGTTGCACTCAAGCTTTACTCATACACATCTGTTTTAGAACTTTCATGTCTGCTACTTCCCATCTAGCCTTGGGTTTCTGCAATATTCTTTTTTATTTTATTTTATTTTTTCATTTTTATTCTTTTATAGTTCATATTCAGGCCAACCTGGAAGATGATCTTGTGAAGGAGGCACTCAAAACGGTAAGTCCTGTCATGTCAGTTAATTGTACTTCACTACCAATCCATGAACGATTTGCTGTCACATTTCCTATGATATACTACTAATATGCGTCCTCTTCTGTTCATTTCTAGGGTGTTGACCTCCGTCAGTATTCCAAGCAAGTGGAGGTGGAGCTGCGGAAGATTGAACAGGCATCAATCAAAGACTGTATCCTTCACAGCTCATAATTTACATGTCTTGATATTTTATCTGTCCTCACAGAGCTTCCTGCTTTTTCTTTATGTATGTGTCTGAGTGGCAGGGTCCCTCTTCACATGCAGTTTTTATTTTATCCAACATATTCAAAGTCATACTCAAATGTTTGGTTACATTCTGAGGTTAAAAAGTTGTTTTAAAGAAATAATTTGATGGAAGTCAGTCATACTTGCATGCTATTTTCTGCAGCCAGAAACCTAAATGAACTCATTCTATGTGGTTTCCCTGAACCTTCGCCTCGTAGACATTAAGGAGAGTCAGAACATTGCTTCTCTGCACAACCAGATTACAGCCTGTGACTCTATTTTAGAGGTGAGGCAGGATTTCTTCATACTTTACCCTCAGAAACGTTTGGCTCCACTGTCCAGAAAAACCTAAATTGGGGTAAGTAATGTTTTTTTTCCCCCTTTCAGCGTATGGAGGGGATGCTGAGCGGCTTCCAGAGCGACCTGTCCTCCATCAGCAGCGAGATCCAGACCCTGCAGCAGCAGTCTGTCAGCATGAATGTCCGTCTGAAGAACAGGCAGGCCGTTCGCAGCCACCTGAGCCAGCTGGTGGATGAACTGGTGGTGCCTGGAGCCATGATCTCGTACGTTTAACAGCTTCTGATTATTTGTAACAATGCTGTAGGAAATGTCACGTGTTGATGTCTTGTTGCTGAAGCTTTTTGGATCGTTCCAGCACCATCCTGGAAAGCCCGGTGACAGAGCAGGAGTTCCTTGAGCAGCTTCACGAGCTTAACTCCAAAATCAACTTTGCAAAAGAGCTGAGCTTCAGGGAGACGCTGGCCTGCTCCGACATCCAGGACATCGTTGATCGCCTCAAAGTCAAGGTGAATCACAGAAACCGCTGTTGGAATTAACAATAATAATAATAATAATAATCACTGAAGGGTCACAGAAGTTCATGTTCTGAGTTTAAATGACACTAGAATCACTTTTCCTTCCTTAGGCAGTGTCAAAGATCAGAGAGTTTATTCTACAGAAGATCTACTCCTTTAGAAAACCGATGACCAACTATCAGATCCCACAAAACACTTTGCTAAAATACAGGTGAGCCTTCGGTAAATGGAACGTTTTGTGGACCGTTTAGTTCCTGACGCAGTTTGACGTGGATTAAATCCATTAAAAGTTTCTAATTCCAGCCTAACCTTTGGAATTTGGAAGGAACTGTGAACACGTTTTTATATTTCTAATTTGTGAAATTAAAAAAAGATTCAACCAGAATTACATTATTGCCTGTTTTTGTTCTGTTGTAGATTTTTTTATCAGTTCCTTTTGGCCAATGAGAGAACCGTTGCTAAGGAGATCAGAGATGAGTATGTAGACACCATGAGCAAGATTTACTACAGTTACTTTAAGTCCTACAGCAGCAGACTTCTCAAAGTTCAGGTCGGTGGTTTAGTATTCACATTTTCCGTTTAGTTGAAAGTATTTTGTGTTTTATGTGACCCGATGTTCTTTGTCCTGCTGCAGTATGAGGAGGTAGCCGATAAAGATGACCTGATGGGGGTGGAGGACACCGCCAAGAAAGATATCCTTTAAAGCTCCGGTTTGCCTCTTCATCCATGACCTGATGATGTCACTTGTTTATGTTAAACAAAACAAAAATGTAAATGAATAAAAAACAGCATCCAGCGAGACAGGAGAGCAGTCAGGTCATGTGACCTACCGACATCTGAGAGTTTGAGGCTCCTTGACTCTCAGCTCCAGGTTTCTTCTCCAAACCATCTTTGAAGAGCAGGAACACCATCTTCACGTTGGGCCAGAGGGGGGCCATACTGAGTCCTGCAGAGCTGGAGGGGCCCATCCTGGTTCCACACACGGCTCAGAGGGGAGACAGCAGAGTAAGACGTGCACACGTTTAAAAAAGTTTAAATAAAATGCCCAGAGTCTCGGTTAGAGATCGATTTGATGGTCTGGTGTGATTAACTCATTCACTGCCAATGACGACTGAAGTCGTCATTTTCATTTTTTTACTGTGCGGGCATCGGATCGAGCCCCCGCACCGTGAGAACAAACATCTCGGCTCTAAAGCCGATCTTCGTCCGCATGCGTCACACGTCACATGATCAGGAAGCAGAAAGTCCATGTGTTAGGAGATCGTTTTGGGTCGCTGCTGTAACAAAAAGTGAGGCGCGAACCATAAAAGCTTCTGCCGATCACAATTCGACAACGGATAATGAAAGAATGGATAACGCTCGAAACACGCGGATTCTTTCTGATGTAAGAGGTGAGTCTCCGCTTTGTTTTGGTTGTTTTGGCGTCGACATCATCCTAGCACGCAACGTTTTGTGACTCTTAAAAAAAACTGTAAAAACGGTGAGAAACGCTGGCAGCGAATGAGTTAAAGAGTAAGAAGAAAGAAATATAAATTAGTGATGGGACTCGATTAATTTTTTTTATCTAATTAATCTTGATTAATCACATTTTAATCATTCAAGACAGTTTGCGCCCAAGTAATTTTTTTGAATACTTTCTGGTCCCCAATTGGGGGACGCTCGGGCTCAAAGGGTAAAATTTAAACGCTTTATTTATTTATTTATTTATTTTTTTATTTTTTCCAAATGAAATAATCGTAATTAACACATTAAATTTCCTTCCCTGATCTAAATATCTGTAACTCTTAACTGGATTGTAATCATTAGTTGTGTAATCGTGTGTGTTCCAGTATCCCTACGAGACACTGTTTCGTAGCCAGCATTACGCTTTGCTGGACAACGGCTGCAGAGAATTCCTCTTCCTGTCCGACTTCTTCATGGTGATCGGAAACTCCGCCTTCGATCTCTTCAACAGCATCATGGGAAAAACGCTCGGAATGTTCCTGGTGGGAACGCTTCCCTTTGAGCATCATTTTTAAGCACGCGAGTGACCTCAAACATAACCTCTGTCCCATCCCGTCCACGTGTCTCCGTCTCTACAGAAAAGCATGTCCACCTACGTGTCCGACTGCTACGACAGCATCGCCATCTTCCTCTGCATCCACATCATCCTCCGCTTCAGAGCCATCACCACGAAGAGGACCATACCTGCTCTGGACAAGTCAGTGTCTCATGAAAGACGACAAACCAAGACATTATTAGACGAGCACAGATAGACAGGAACTTTGTTTTTCTTCACATAAGTGTTGGAATGACAACATTTACTAGCCTGGCAAGCCAGACTAAATAAATGTATTATTTAGTCTGGCCATGCTCCATTGACGGCTCTCGGTTGTGGGGCGGGTTCTACCGTTGTCTTTCAAATGATCTCCACATTCCACTGGACAATGAATGTGACATACTCTTGTTTCACTCTGTTGCATCATCCCACCCACCAGGCACAGAGAGTGCCCTGATTGGCCCACAAAGCAGATAAAGCTCTGTGATTTGTTCTCTAAGCAAATAGAGCACTATGATTGGCCCACCATTATGGACCAATCACAGCTCTTTGTGTGTTTGAAACCCCTCTGGAGAGCTGTGATTGGCCAGCCAGAGTCCTGGTAGGAGCTGCGGAGGTTCCAATGGAGCATGCCTAGACCAAACTTTGCAAAGCAAGAATTTGGTCTAGTTCACTGAAATCCACCTCTTACAGCTGTTTTTGTGATTTTAATTTCCAACTTGATCACAAACGATTTTAAATTGAAAGTATTTGAACCTTCAGCAACAGGACTGATAAAGAAAGAGGAATCCAGACTCATCAGCTGAGCTCCAGTGACGGAAAAACTGCTAAATTGAGTACATATTGTAAAAAAGACTCATTCATAGCTGTAGATCATTGCTTCTGTAGCAGGAGCCTCCTGATTGGTTATCTGTGTGTGTGTGTGTGTGTGTGTGTGTGTGTGTGTGTGTGTGTGTGTGTGTGTGTGTGTGTGTGTGTGTGTGTGTGTGTGTGTGTGTGTGTGTGTGTCAGATACTGGGATGCTGTACTGGAGCTGCTGTGGCCGAGGTTTGAACTCATTCTGGAGATGAACATCCAGAGCATCAGAAACACCGATCCTCAGAAGCTGGGAGTTCTGGACACCAGGCCTCACTATGTACGCAGAATAAAGACAAAAATACTTTATTCTACATCTCAGTTAGATTAAAAATGATAATTTACACACACCTTTATAAATCTGACAAATATAATTAATATTTCTGTGTTCGTGAACAGTTTGGTCGTTAAATAACAGAATCGTGTGCATCTTGGTTTCAGATCACTCGGCGCTATGCAGAGTTCTCTTCAGCCATCGTCAGCATTAACCAAACGTTTCCTAATGAGAGGACCAACACGCTGCTGGGACAGCTGCAGGTAACACACACACACACACCATAATTGTCTTAGGTTTTAACTACATTAGTAAAATTCTGTGATTTTTTTTTCTCTCTTGCACCGTGTTCTGTTGATTCTAGGTGGAGGTGGAAAACTTTGTGCTAAAAATGGCGGCAGAGTTTCCATCCAGAAGAGACCAGCTGATCTTCCTCATCAATAATTACGACATGATGCTCAGCGTTCTCATGGTGCTTCACTTATTGATTATTCATGGTCTACGTTTCACTTCTATGACAAAAACTTTTTGTTTTTCTACCATAAATTCTGCACAAGTTTTGACTGCTGCAGATGCTTTTTCTTTTTTGTCCAGGAGAGGGCAGCAGATGACAGTAAAGAAGTGGAAAGCTTCCAGCAGCTGCTCCTGGCCAGAACTCAGGTAGCTAACACGTAACCTCCCTTATTTCAAAACGTTTTCATGTCATTTATTCTGTATTTTTATTAAGAATTAGATGGTTTCATTTTCATTCTTTCCTTTTTTCCCCATTTCTCTTTTAAATCCAAATACTAAAATGATGCCATTCTAATATTTTGACGTATAATGTGAAACAAAACAAAAACCTGACATCTAAAGCATTTTTCTCTGTTTTTCCTGAATTTTGTCCCTTCAGGAGTTTATTGAGGAGATTTTGTCTCCTCCCTTTGGGGGGATGATTGCCTTTGTGAAGGAAGCCGAGGCGCTGATGGAGAAAGGACAGCTGGACCGGCTGAAGAACGAGGAAGGTGAGAGAGAAACTAACAGATAATGCCTAGAGGGCTTCGGTGTTTTCAGTATCGTCTGTTCTCTGGTTCTGGTGAAAGGTGACCAACGTAGAAGCACACAATGTCATGTTGGGTTTTTTGGTTTGTTTAACTGATAAAAGCTCTGAAACTGTCAGAAGGAAACGGTTAAAGTCAACAAACTGTCCTGGTCAGAGTTTTTCTTCTTCTGAATGACAACAGTCACCAATTCTTCTGAACTGTGTGTACTGAAACTCTAATTTCCCTCTGGGATTAATAAAGTATCTTTGATTTGATTCTGTAAATGACTTTATTTTCTGGGTAAAAATCTCAGAAATGCTTTTAATGAAGGTACAAAGAGCCTCCTTGAGTTTTAGTTTATCCAGAAACACCAGGAAGCATCACATGAACGTCTATACAGGCTGCTTTCTTTTTACCGTTCAGTTTAGGCCCTGTCCACACGTAGCCGGGGATCTGCCAAAACGTAGATATTTTTTTACGTTTTGGCCTGTCATCCACACGAAAACTGAGTTTTTTCACACGAAAACGGATCTTTTTAAAAACTCCGGCCAAAGTGAAGATCTGCATTTTCTCCGTTTTGGGTGTCTGCGTGTGGACAGACAAAACCGGAGTTTTAAGGTCCGCAACGTCACTTTCCACGACAAAAAAATGCTGACATCACGTGTGCGACCTGTGTTTACACTAGCCGACAGCATGGATGCCCTCAGAGCTGCGCTCGCTTTATCAATTGTCCAAGCGCTTTTTGCTTGTTTGTTTTTGCAAGCGGAATTACTGCTCCTTGCTGAAGACCACAGACGAAGGACGAGGTTAAGAACGGGGGAAGTACTGCCGCCTACAGGTCTGGCATGTCCTTAACAACGTATTTATCCGGGTACGTGTGGACAGTTTTTTTTAAACAAGGTGGTGTGGATGCAAGTTTTTGGAGGGGCGGATATTCGTTTTTTTAAAAACCCGGCTACGTGTGGACTAGGCCTCAGATTTACAGAGAAAAAGCTACTTCCTGTCTAAGCGTTTTATTGTTCCTGATCGTTTCTCTTTTGAACGTCCGAAGCCACAAACCAATCACTTCATATGACCACATCCTACATTCTGTCTAAGGAAATGAGTGAAACTATACAGGAAACAGAAAAACACAGCCATGATGTTAACCATGCTGTGTGTGTGTGTGTGTGTGTGTGTGTGTGTGTGTGTGTGTGTGTGTGTGTGTGCGCGTGTGTGTGTGTGTGCGTGCGTGCGTGCGTGTGTGTGTGCAGCTCGCATCACCCAGCTCATCCGGGGCTTTTCAAGCACTTGGAAACAATCAGTGGAGTCGATGAGCCAAGAGGTCATGAGATCTTTCACCAACTTCAAAAATGGAACCAGCATCATACAGGTGAGTTAGTCAGCAGGTGTGTTACACACACACACACACGTGCGCTTTCTTTGGCGCAACTAAGCCCAGCCCAGAATAATGACAACGGGAGCGTCGGTGTAAATCATCTCAGAGAATGAATCATATCCTGAAAACCTGAAACATTTCCTACAAATAAACTTTAATGTTACCAAAATCACTTTGAGCAGAGGATGTAAAGAAAAACTAGAAACACATTTTCATTCCTTTGTGCTGCCTTGTAGATCCCTACTGCCTCTGTAAACACTACCACATGAAAAATGCAAAAGGAAAGGGAATTAAATGCTTAAAATGAGTTGTTTCCAAAAGTCCCGGTTTGTGACATCACTAAAGGAAAATTAGAATAGAAACCCCTCTCACCTGTGGAACTCAAAAGTATTCAAAATTCAATAAATAAATAAGACATTATGAAATAAATATCCACGTGAAGAAATACTAGACAATCATGTAATCTGACAACGAAATGATGAAATAACAGAATGTTATGTAAAATCTAAGCTCAATATTCTGAAATATTTTTCATTCTTCTTTTAAAATGTCTTTATTAATATAAAGTTTTTTTCAAGTCATTTTTTCATAATAATCCAAATTAATATTGAGCCATTTTTATTTAATTCATTCAGTTTTTATTACATAACGTCTTTTTAACAAAAACAGCTTTTATTTCACAGTAGTGTTTTTTCCCATGGCTGATTTATTTCATAATGAGACTTTACAGCAGAGTGTCTCAGTGTTTTTATTGAATTTTGAATACTTTTGAGTTCCATAAGAGAGAGCTGCTGCTGGAGCAGCAGCAGCTTTACTCCAAGTCTCTGCTGGAAATCTGAGCTTCTCAGCTTATAGTAGCCTAAAGGGGGTGATGGCTGGGCGTGGCCAGCTCCAGCCTATTTTCTTGAATTGACAGAGCCCTGAAACGGCTCATTCTGGAAGGTGCTGAAACTGTCAAAGATTAAAACTGCTGAAATCGAGGAACTTTGTGCAAAAAACTTCATAAATATGTTTTTTATCGACCACAGAGATTTATTACTTAAAAGAAAAAGTCATGTCTTTTTTTAAATGAAAATAGCATAAAAAGCTTCCAGATCATGTGATCATTTTCAGTGTTTTTAAAACTATTTTACAGAAAGGAAGTTAAATGCAAAGAGTTGCAAAATCTAGAACGTTAAAAAAAACTTGATACTTTTCTGGATTTTCTTAGGTTGGAAAATCTACCAATAATAAACCTTTTAATGGTTGATCTAATGTAAAATCGCTGGTTTTATGGGTAAGTTTTGTAACACGCGAATGCGTAAGCTAACAACTTTAAAACCCAGTAACACTTCTCGGAACAGAACATCCTGTTTTTGTTCTTGCCATCGAGGCCGTGTTGCTGGCATAACAAAACAAATGGTGATTCAACCCAAACAAGATGTGGTTTGGATGGGAAAATGGTGTAAAAAGTCATTTTGAAACTTTTTGTTTCGTCTTCCCGTCCTGCAGGGCGCCCTGACCCAGCTGATTCAGTACTATCACGGCTTTCACAAGATCCTGAACCAGCCGACGTTCCGCAGCCTGGCCGTCCGCTCCGAGCTCATCAACCTGCACCACCTCATGGTTGAGGTCAAGAAGCACAAACCCAACTTCTAACCTGGGACATGCTAACCAGATGTATTCAAAACATGTGCAACAACTTTATTTGTTCTGCTGTGGAACAAATGACAACAGATCACTGAGGAGGTGTTTTTTTTAAGATCTTTTCATCACTTTATGTTTACGTTTAAATGAAGAAAATGCTACTGATTGAGTTTGAGCTTCTAGAATGGCGGTAAAATTAATAACTCAACCTGTTTAATCTGAAAATGTAAATTATTGGAACAAAATGAGTCTGATTGCAACAATTAATGTTCCAGAGGAAACGATGCAAACGTCTTACTGTAATAAGATGTTTTTGTCAGAAATTCAGATATGTTGATGTGTGTGTAATGGTTTCATTCAAAAAGTCTTTTTTTAAGTTGAAGGAAGTGTGTGATTGTGTTTTTCTGATTTCTAAAGCTGCACTAGTGAGACAGAAGCTCCTGAAGAAGACTTGAAACACGTAACTCTGACCTTTAAAGGTGCTTTTATTCTTCTCAGTAGATTCTGTTATTTATAATCATTGTTATTTGTAGGTGTCACCTCTGAGCTCGTTTCCTGTAGAAACATCATTTATAAATCAGAAGAACTGGATCTGCTGACAGAAAGGAAAAGCCTCCTTTACCAGGAGCTGTTGTTCTTTTGTCCGTCTGTAAAAAGTCGTGTTGCTTTTGTTTGTGTGAATCTATAAATGAAGTCATTCCCATTTAAACTATGCTGAGTAAAAATGACCAAATGAATAAATAAAAATACAGCACACCAGCGGCGGCTCCAGAAATGTTTTTCTGCAGGTGCTATGAAGGAGCTAGTCTTTTTATTGAGGGTGCTATGAAGGAAGTGGTCATGCGTACCTATTGTTCTCTAAAACACCTTCAACACTAGCAGATACACATGCGTGCACAACACCTCAACAACACCCGAAACAATCATTAATATACATCATAAACATATGAACAATCGCTGACTTGTCCATGAAATCATAAACACATACAGCCACACAGAAAACTATCTATGGTGTTGCAAGGTTAGCTAACGTTAGTGTTAGCATTTCCAGCGGCAAAACCCTCGACTGCTGCGGCGGTTGAGGGTTGACTCTCTTCATCCAGATCCGTAGGTTTTTGTGGGTCTGTGATCACGTCCAAATATTCATTTGTTTCGGACTGAACCCGTGGAATTGTGGGCAACAAAAACCGATCCATTTTACCACTAGCTCCACCTTTCACTCGTTCACAGGTGGAAAATGAGGTCAAAGGTTAACATCAATTTCCTGTTTTGGTTTAAGTTTTTACTATCTGTATGATAATTTACTGATTATTTTTGTTTTGTATGTTAAATATTATCACATCCACACGTTAAATTAAAATTAAATTGTAAAAAAATAATAATATTTACTTGGGGGTGCAATGACTAATCCAGGGGTAGCTATAGCGTTCCCTAGCGCCGCCACTGCAGCCAGGGGCGCCGTAAATCGGTGAAAGATTAGGAAGATTCTAAGGGCCCACAGCTGTCAGGGGCCCAAAAAAGTTTCAAAGTTGAATTTAAAAAAATTTAATTTAAAAATCACAAGTACTTTGCAGTATTTTTTTCTCATTTAAGACATTAAACAAACAAGTCTTTTAGTATTTATGAAATGTATATGGGGGGGGGGGGGGGGTTCAAATTAATTGGTCAAAATAAAGTAGAGACCTCTGAATAAATGCTAAAAGACTCGTTTGTTTAATGTCTGAAATGAGAAAAATACTGCAAAGTAAAGTACTTGTGATTTTTAAATTTAATTTTTTTTATTCAACTTTGAAACTTTTTTGGGCCCCTGACAGCTGTGGGCCCTTAGAATCTTCCTAATCTTTCACCGCTTTACGGCGCCCCTGGCTGCAGTGGCGGCGCTAGGGAACGCTATAGCTACCCCTGGATTAGTCATTGCACCCCAAATGTCCAGCTGACATATCATCATTCTCTGATGATATGTCAGCAGGTGCCCCCTCACAACCCAATGAACCTCAAGAAGGTGAGCAATGTAGCATGTTAGCTAGCAGACTCATTTAAGGGGGTCTGTGGGAATCACTTAAGGCTCTCTTCTCTATCAGTACTATTACAAAGGAATATAAAAAGGCTATTTTTGGTGATAAACACATTGTTTTTTCACATAATGATAATTATATATATCAATCAGTAAAAATGTATAGATTGTTTTCGATGCTGGGCAGGTTGAAGCACTGTTATTTAGTCTGTTAATGTAACATAAATTACTGTGAGATTATTACTGTGAAGCACCTTTTTGAAGGCACCATACAAGAAAAAAACCCTCTTCATCTACTAAACACCTTGAAATGAAATGTTTCGAATCTGACTGAATTATGGGAGGTTTTACAAGATGTAATTTGTTTATGTAGCTTTTAGAACACAAACCAAAAATCAGCAATTTCCAAATAATTCATCAGAGAGCAAAACTGAAACAAAAGCTATTAATAATTTTAATAAATAAACTTAATATAACATTGAACACAACAAAATATGAAATCCAATACTGATCGTTATCGAGCATTATTAATTATATCACTGTAAATAATAAATCTTGCTGTGTACAATCAAGGCTGAATATATTTTAGCTGTTTTTTGTTGTTGAGAAAAATGGGTTTCTAGAGACTTATATACGTATTCATTCAACATGGAATGCTACAACATGAAATTCCAGGGCAACAAAATGAAGTACAGAAAAAGGTGAACATTTTTATCCTGCCTTTCATTATCACTGTTACATGACAATGCACACAAACCACATTGGGACCCATTTTTCCCGGTGTTCTATCAGAATTTGATCCCTGCTTCTGGATGAAAAACCGGACATTATCATGAATACAAGAACCAACCCCCTCACTCCACCCCTCCTGACAGAGTGAAAAGTTGACGTGTACGGCCTCCTGGTTTGATGCCAGCTCCGGCTTTCTCCTCGCAGTTTATGGAAGATTTCAACACGAAACGGGAGACTGTCTTAAATGCGAGACAGAGCTTGGTCATGCTACTCTCCAGGCCAGCGCATGTTGGCACGGTGCGCACGCGAGGTGTGGGGTGGTGGTGGTGGGGGTGCGTTCAAGATTTGGGGTTGCTGAGCAGTTGCTTAGCCCAATCTTGGGGTTGTTTAGCAACCCCTAGCTACCGCCTGGTGCCGCCCATGTCTGTTATTCTCTAATAACAAAAATCTATGTATGGCATTCCATGCAACCATGGCTCTGTAATAAACCGCTCTTTGCCTTTGATTAGTTCTGCAGCGCGGTAGTGTGCACCTTATGTCACTTGTCTGTCTCGTCATGTAATCAAATTCTGACTGTAATCTCAGAATTTTGACACTTTTCTTAGAATTCTTACTTTAATCTTAGAATTCTGACTTTTTTGCTCAGGATTATTAAAGTCAGAATTCTTAAAAAAAGTGAGAATTCTGATGAAAAAGTCAGAATTCTGAGATTAATGTCAGAATTCTCTTTCTATTTTTTTTTCTTCAGTGGCCCTAATCCTCTTCTGTAGTACGGTGCTTAAAAATAAATCTGGAAATTTTAAGGAGAAAATGAAATGAGTAAAATAATTAAGACTTTGATAAGTTTGTCCTGAAGAAAAAAGTTTTCATCATTTTCTGATTAACACGGACGTGTGTGCAACATTTGTTCTCCGCATTTGACCCATCCCCTGGGGGAGCGGTGAGCAGACGCGGCCGCGCTCAGGAGCCATTGAGGCCCTGTCCACACGTAGCCGGGGATCTGCCAAAACGTAGATATTTTTCTACGTTATGGCCTGTCATCCACACGAAAACTGAGTTTTTTCACACAAAAACGGATCTTTTTAAAAACTCCGGCCAAAGTGAAGATCTGCGTTTTCTCCGTTTTGGGTGTCTGCGTGTGGACAGACAAAACCGGAGTTTTAAGGTCCGCAACGTCACTTTCCACGACAAAAAAATGCCGACATCACGTGTCCGACCTGTGTTTACACTAGCCAGCATCACGGAAGCCTTCAGAGCTGCGCTCTGTCACTACCCGATCCATCAATTGTCCAAGCGCTTTTTGCTTGTTTATTTTTGCAAGCGGAATTACTGCTCCTTGTGGAAGACCACAGACGAAGGACGAGGTTAAGAACGGGGGAAGTACTGCCGCCTACAGGTCTGGCATGTCCTTAACAACGTATTTATCCGGGTACGTGTGGACAGAGTTTGTTTTTAAAACGCGGTGGTGTGGATGCAAGTTTTTGGAGGGGCGGATATTCGTTTTCAAAAAACCCCGGCTACGTGTGGACTAGGCCTTAATCACAACAAATTTTCATATGAAATTTCTGCTGCTGCTTCAGCGGCAACTTAAAAGTCTCCTGACTCCAAATCAGAATGGAACATAGCTGTTGAACTGTGAATTGTAGATGTAATAGTAAAATATTTTTTATGACAACAGAACAAATTCACAAATGTCTCTGCTTCTACATGCACACTTACTAGAACCACACACAAACTCTCCTAAATGCATGCATTGATAAAGTGAGTGTACCACTGTTACGCTGTAGAGCAGCCTCAGTGATGATGAAATATTTGGAAACTTGTTGCAAGAATAGAAAAGATGAGCAGAGCTGAGCAGCTGCTTCTATCTGCAGCATCTGAAAAGACACCAGAATGTGGAAAAGACAGTTATTTCAGGTCAAAATCTCCAAGTTGCTTCACTTTTAGCTCAGCTTCAAAGACAAACATAATCCATACAAACAAAATGATTATTATTCACTGTTATCCACATATTATTTTGTATGTTTACATAAAAATAGAGGTTTTAAGGTACAATGGTCCACTTTATTTTGAAAATAAGTGTTCTGTAATCATCTTCTTACCTGATGGTGCATTTTGCAGGTTTAGACGAGCTCTGAACATCGGGGGGTTTTCTGCGGAACAAATGGAAGACCAAGCAAATCACACATAGTAGACATCTTTCAGACTGATTAGGTGCAAAATACGCATTGCATGTAAAAAATAAAACAAAATTACCATTACAAAGTATTACTAGATTAGTAATATACATTTTTACATTATTAGTACCATATTATGACCCCATTTGCCACATCTGACCCTGCCTTTAATGCAGTTTTAATCTAAGTTCATACCTTCTATTGAGAGCTGCATGGTGCTGACAGAGAGGCCGTTGTCATCCAGAACTTTGTACGTTCCTTCATCTGAGATTTTCACGTTTTTTAACGTTAACTGCTCGTGGTGTGGATCTTTCTCCATACGCTCAATGCTTTTCCCACCCCTCGTCCACAGGTCCAACCACTCAGAGCTGTTCCTATGGAGAAGAAATGTTGAAAAAGTCTAAACAAGACAATAATTTTCAGACTTTTTTCTTTAAATGTGCCTGGAGTCGTTGGAAATTGGAAAAGGCAGCTTGAAATATTTTTAGAGCCAACTATTCGTTTCTAATTCACTACTAGCATTGTTAACTCAACGTTGGCTTCTAGCCTTCTTTACCCGATATTAGAGTAAAACAAAATTACTTATGTTTGCTTAACTTTTTCTTTCTTTCTCTTGTCTCTGGGCCACTCTTTTTACTGGTTAACACTTTTTCTACAAGACTTCTTTTCCATCCGGTATTGAATTACAAATGCCGGCACAGCTGCATTTGGCAATGCAGACTTGGCAACCTTACAGGCTCACATGTGATTGGCTCTGAAACCCGGAAGTGAGGAGGCAGGACAGATTGTAAACAAAGACTTTGTCTCTCTTTGGCCCTTTTTAAATCAAGAAAAACTCCCCCAGCTGACTGAGAAGCAAACCTGCTTCAATGTTAAGGCTGGTTTATGCTTGACGCGTCCACGAGGTCCGCACGGCTCCGCGCGGAAAAGTTGCGTCATTTTAACAACCACGCCCCTCCACCGCGCCTCCGCACGGCCCAGAATTTCGGCAACGCGCACCTCGGAAAATTTCTAACCACGCGGACGGACGGACGCGGAAAAACATGGCGGACCGGCAAGAACTAGTATGGCAGAGGTTCGTAAATACAGACATTTTTATGATTCGGCTCTCAGAGATCACCGTGATCAACATGTTGTTAATAATTCTTGGAGAGAAATAGCTCGCACTGTCGGAAAAGACGAGGACGCTGTTAAAAATGCTGAAATGCCATGTTGTAAACAGTCATTTCTACTTCTACTATGGTGTAGTGTTGGATGCATGCCGTAGAGCTCCATGCTGCCCCCTACAGTTTGGGAGAATATTGGCTCACCGCAGAGACGAGCCGCATGAACCATAAACGCTGCGAGTTGTGAAGCGCGTTCCATCCGCGAGCCGCATCACCGCGCGGAAAGTAAATGCGTCAAGCATAAACCAAGCTTAAGCCTTCTTCCAACATGATTGAAACTATGGACTGTTTTGTGATCATTTCTCTGTAAACTTTCCCACTTGTTGCACCTTTAACTTCTCCGACATGAAAATAACCAAACACCCCTTTCCCAGTTACAGCAGAAATCCTCTGAGCTCAGTAACATTCTTTTATAAATAAAACCAGCAACACCTAAAAAAGCACAACCTCCAACATGTTTTATGACCACAGTCATAGGAGGCTGTGAATTTTAGTTTGCAGGTGCCCGCCTGTGTTTGGTCATAAGATGAATTGGGGGCTCGTCCGGCATTTGCTCCTGGGACCTCCCACAAAAACAAAAGGTTACATTTTTCCACTCATCCTGGGAAAAAACATTTGATTCACAATAAATCTGAGAAGGAGCAACTTGTGTTTTATTATAACAACAAATAACTGGCAGGCCTGACATCATATAACTCAAGTATCACATACAGTGGGATGTGAAGGTTTGGGCAGCCTTGCTAATCTTTATGATTGTTATGAAAAACAAAATCAGTTAAATATATCATATAGGAGTTTGTAAGTTATACAATTTTTTAAAATATTCTATTAAAACTAAGTAATTGTATATAAATTGATCACCTGCCCTGGAAGACCACTGTTGATGAGCGGGGGGTGTAGAGCGTCAGAACAAAGTCTTCTCCAGGACGATGGGAATGTTCAGTTTTGTGATCTGAAAAAGTCAAAAGATCAAGAAAAGAGGTAAAGAGTTGGAAATTGTTTTAACCAAAGTAGATAAAAAATAAAATAACCACAAAAGATGGGGAAAACATAAAAAGAGGTTAGGATGTCTAAAAGGTTGGATTCACCAATTTTGAAAAGAAAATTCAAACAGAGATTTGATCAAATACACCATCCTCACCATTCACACGGAGCTTAACGCTCTGGATGAAGACCCGAGTCATTTTGGACCTTGCTCCCTCTACGATCATGAAGCTCTCGTATTTTCCAGTGTCCACAATCTGAACGTCTTTAATGATCAGAGAACAATCCCCCAACCCGAGCTTCTCCTGAGGCACCTCCAGTCGGCCTTCGAACTCCTCTGCCTGCCACTTGTCTTCACCATCCTGTTCAAACACGGTGTGCGGTGGTGACACCCACTGGATGTGGCAGGGGGAAGGAGTTGCTGCATCCTGATGTGACTTCCAGCTGCAGGGAAGCTTTGCCTCATTACCCACCATCGCAAAGATGTATTGAGGACGAGCACCAGCAGGCAGAGTAGAAGAGTCTGCAAAAGAAAATGGATTGGAATCATTTCTACATCAATCTTGTGCAATATTACAGCATCCTCCATCAGGGACTGTCAAATCATGTCAAAAAGTTAGTCAGCTATAGAGGATACATCCCAGCTATTATCTTAGTGTGGGTGGATGTTCCAGGCAATCTGGAGGACAGATGAACCTTAACAATGATTAACTTCAGATTAATGATAGTGTTGAAGGACAGTAAACAAGAATAAATAATTTCAAATAGATACTCACCAACTAAACTGCCAGTAAGGAAACACTGTAGATAAATGAAAAACCTTTAAAAAAAAGAGAAGTTATGTTATGCTTGTTTCATAAAACAGCCAATCTGTCTTGTTTAAATACATAAATATGTTGCATAATTTATTCTCTAATGAATTGTATTTATTTATTTGCTTTTAAATGTGTTTTATTTTCATGATGTTATTGCAGGTTCTGTATAAACCACATAAATGGTGTTATTTTGTATTGAAACGTTTATCCTTTTGAGTCCATTCTTAGAGCTAGTAAAGCGTTTTTGGAGAAGTGAAACAAAGAGCAGTTAACTCTGTGGTTCAGTAGGCTTCATGCTTACTGGAAAACGAAACTGTAAGAACCACAGCCCGCTGGTTTATAATTGCAATTACAACATGGACACAACGTTTAACAGCTTTTTCTATCGGGATATGTCTATTTTCTGCAGCTTGGACGCAAATGCACGCAAATTGCATGAAAAAACATATTTGTTTATTACAAATTGATATATTAAAGAAGTTTAAAATAATCAAAAACATTTAAAAGAATATAAAAAAAGCTGTTAGTAGATGAAAAATAAAGTTAAATCTCACCATAGTCGCGTTGTCATTGTGTCGGTTACTGGAAACTCAGTCAAGTCTCGTTTCTCTGTCCTCCTGACCGTTGCTGCTCTGAGTGTGTTTACGTCCACTGCTTTACCTTTTAAATCTCCTCGCTCTGTTTCAGTTTCCCCAAACTTCAAAATAAAAGCACGCATATTTTTTTAATTATTTTATTTTGTTACCCAAGTTTATCCTACTTTTAAAACAACGTGTGTGGGCCGTTTTTGTTAAACAAACATTTCAAGTTTAGTGTTTATGAACTAGATTACAATGAAAATGCTAAATTGTACATCTCAAGCTTCATTGTTTCAAAATTAGACGAGAAACACATTTTGATAATAATAATAATAATAATAATAATAATAATAATAACGGTACTTAATTTTTAAAGCGTATATTTGATGGATCACTTATACATTTGCTCATTTATTTCAAACAAAACTTAATTTGACTTTGAAGGAGGCATATGGGTTAAAAATGTGATTAAATAAAAAATGCAGGAATATTTTGCAATTATTAAAATTGAGCTTTCATATTTAGGTTCATAGCTAAAATATAATATAATATAATATGTAAGTATTAATTGAGATTTAAGAAAGTCACAAATAAAAACATACTCTTATTTTGACGGTACTTCCGGTATTAAACGCGCTTCACTCCTTCTGGGCAGAATCGAAACCTAACCTAACTTAAGTCCACCAGCTGGGCCATGTTGCGGAGATGAGTGGTGCGCGAATCAGTCATTGATGAAAATTTCCCTTTTCCGTTTCAGACGTGATGGTGGTCTCTCCATTTCTAGTAAAAAATGTTCTCGCTGTTTTCCTCCCACTGAAATGACGTTTACATTCACGCAAACAGTCAGACATCAGCCTGCACAAACCTGGGAAACATCTGCTGTCCTTTGCCATTATGACAGGTCCCTTTTGGATTATTACTTTCATTTGTAAGTTATTATTTTTTACTATTCAGTTTCAGTAGATTTAAATGCTGATATGTTGGCTGCAAGTTATATTTCTAATATGAAAGGTCACAGCAGCGTCTTCATTGTTTTTTTTTAAATTTTTTATTTTCAGTTGTGGCTTTAAAAAGGCTGTATGCCTTTTTGATATGTGCTGCTTTTGTGAAAACACACTGAAAAAGCATAATGGCAGGTGTAAGCAACTATCTGGACTAGATCTGATATCACCTCTTCCAAATTTAGATTTTAGGTTCAAACCACATATTCAAATAGTAGAAGAGTAGATTTATAGTTTTCAGTCTGTGGTAGATGCATGCATGCAAACTCCACACAGACAGGTTTTAGTATTTTCATTTCATTTCACTTTATTTATAAAGCCCCTTCCGCAACCTTATCACATGCCCAAGGTGCTGAACAAGAAGAAGAAGAAGAAGAAGAAAATATCATTTCTATAGCGCCTCTCAAGATAAAAATCACGAGGCGCTTCACAAAAATAAAAATTGTAAAAATATAAAAAAGCATTTCGAAAATGTTTTAAAATATATTTAAAATGAGCAAGAATAAGCAATTGGGATTTAAAAGAAAAAATGTTAAGGAGAGTGAATAGGAAAAAGGGAAATCAGTGGATCCTGAGGAAGGTGGAATAGGTGGGGAGAGCAGAATAAAGAGAGAGTGGTGGAGAAGGTCATACAAAAGCCAGCTTGAACAGGTGAGTCTTCAGCTGCTTTTTGGAGACCACTGAGTCCACTGATCTCAGGCTCAGGGGGAGAGAGTTCCAGAGTCTGGGGGCCACAGCATAAAATGATCTGTCACCTTTGACCTTTAGCCTGGTGCTGCACAACCAGTAGGCTTGGATCACTGGACCTCAGGGACCTGCTGGGGGTGCAGGGACTAAGAAGATCACCAATGTAAGATGGTGCTTGTCCATGTAAGGCCCTATAGACCAGAACCAGGATCTTGAAATGAACCCTGAAGTTGACTGGCAGCCAGTGAAGCTGGAGGAGAAGCGGGGTGATGTGGGTGTGTTTGGAGGACTTGGTCAGAAGCCGAGCACAGGCATTCTGAACCACCTGTAGACGGTTCAGTGAGGTTCTGCTCAGACACGTGAAAAGAGAGTTACAGTAGTCTAAGCGTGAGGAGATGAAAGTCTGGATAACTGTCTCAAGTTCAGAGTGGGACAGAATGGGACTCAGCTTAGCAATGTTCCTGAGATGGAAGAAGGAAGAACGAACAAGAGAACTGACATGAGAATCCAGGGTGAGAGCTGGGTCAAAGGTCACACCAAGATTCCTGACAGAAGGTTTGGTGTGAGAAGCAAGCTGACCAAGAGAGTCTCTGACTTTGGGAACCAGCTTGTCTGGGGCACAGATGAGGATCTCAGTCTTATCTTCATTCAGCTGAAGAAAGCTCCCACCATCCAGGTTTTGATAGAGTCTAAGCAGGTGTGTACAACAACACAAGAAGCAATAAGAAACACATGTAAAAACAGTATAAACACAACCATAAAAAGCATTAAACACAATAAAAAGACCACATTACATGCTGGATAATGAAGCCACGCTACGAAATCTGTTGTTGGAAAGCCATAACATAAAAATGCGTCTTTAAACGGGACTTAAAAATCAGCAAAGAGAGTGACTGCCACACGGTTAAAGGCAAATCATTCCACAGCCTCGGAGCCAACACAGAGAATGCACGATCCCCCCGTGACCTACACCGGGAACGTGGAACCACCAACAATTCCCTATCAGCTAAACGGAGCATTTCTGTTCAAAAGCTTCTCCAGGTACAGAGGAGCAGTCCCCTGAATAGCTTTTAAACACCAAAAGTAACGCTTTGAATTTCACTCTGAAGCGCACAGGGAGCCAGTGCAGCATCTCAGTACCGGAGTAATGTGCTCCCTGCACGACGTGCCAGACAGGAGCCTAGCGGCAGAGTTTTGGACTAACTGTAACCGCGCCACCGCACCCTGACTAAGGTGGCGTGGCAGACTAGTATGGGATATGGGCACATCAATAGTGCCAATAAACGGTGCCACCAGAATATCCTGCATGACTACCTCTCCTTTCTCCTTAGATGCTGCAGGATGTCACCTGTCATCCCCGTCACCTGTCTCCCCCCTCTTGGTGCACGTTGGGCAGAACATCTCTCTGAATTGTAACATCACATCCAACCCAGAGATTATCTGGTACCTGCTGCGTTCAGAGCAGCTGCTGCCTCTTCTTAGACTTTCAAAACTCAAACTCAACGATAAAGGAACAGGCAACTTTTACAATGTTAACACCAGTCGATTTAACTGGGCAAGAGACCAGAACAGCAGCCTGGTCTCACTGGAGATCCTCTCAGTGGAGGAGGAGGAGGATGCCGGCTGGTATTTCTGCACTGGGGTGTGTGAAGCTGACGTTTGAGTTAACAGAGGAATTCACCTGAAAGTAATCGGTAAGAACTCATTATTCTATGTCTGCTTTAGCTTGAAGCTGTTTTAAGTTTTGACACATGCAGCTCCACCAACCTAGCCTCAGAATGGTAATTTGTTGTTATTTATTAATAATTAGGAAGGTTAATACCAAGAACATCGTTAAAACAAACTTTGAGAAACTACAGTGTTCAAGCTACAGTCAGCACAATGGCAAAGATATGAAAATTTCTTCTGGATTGTGGTTTGGATTCAAAATGATCCAATTAAAGTAGCAAAACTGTTTTTATTATGTTTAATATTCATCTTTTTCCAGCTTACTGGACACATCGTAGTTAATCTTTTGGATCAACTGTTATGTGAGCTGCATGCTATTCCTGTTTGTCAAACATTGCAAGGCCATGACATGACAACACCTCATAGTTTCATGCAAAATGTCTCAGAGGAATTTCTCTTTGTGGAAAATGAAAATAGAAATGGACAATATATTGGCATCAATATCGGTATAATTTTTTTACGCGTTGGTCCGATAAATAAAACCGGGCCGATATAGGGAGCCTAAGTCTCCTCCCTTTCTGGTCGGCTCATGGGTCCCCAGAAGAACGAAAAATTAATGCAAGGCTAAAAACACAATTTTCTAACTCGCTTTGCCTTAGACCCTGGACCACACATAAGTTATACTGCAATTTAAATGAAAATTAATGATGGGTGTTTCGACCACGCCAGTGACGTACTTTGAGATTTATCAGCTTGTAAAAGTTTGTAATTAGCATGACGCATATGTGACGTATTTACAGTCTATGGACGTCCCCTAACGTAGCTGCTACTTACCACATGACCAGATTTATGGTGGTTCTTTCCTCCTGTGGGAAGTTTGCTGAACTTACAGCCCTTTTCCCTCAGTCTTCTCCTTGTCTGGTTCGATGACGTCACTTTCTTGAAGCACATTTGTAGTCCTGGACTTATTTTTAGGGATGCACCGATGGATCGGCATTTGATCCCAATCGGCCGATAGCGCCCCTATCGGCTTTGATCGGAGTTTTCAAAATAGATCAAAGCAGACCGATCAGGTAGGGTTGTCACGGTAACGGTGTAGCGGTAAACCCCGGTAAAAAAAAAAGTTGACAATAATAATAACCGTCTTGTTTAAAAAAAAATATTATCTCAGTGGGTTTACCGTGGCTGCGGTGTAGGCGCGGTGACCCTTACCAGCCACCGTATCATCTGCTGAAGTTGCCGGCGGCACATGCGCACTTTGTTGTTTACAACCAAAACTTTCTTGAAGCTAAAGCTGAAATAATGGCCAAAGGAGGAGACGGCAGCGCTCAGGAGGACATTTTTTATCCCTCAAAGAAGACAAAGTGGGAAGTACGGGCATCTTTTGGAGATTATTTGAAGAATGCCGAGGGACAGTTGATAGAAGACGGCTATCCTGTTTGCAGCACGTGCAGAAAAAGTGTCTGTGAAAGGCAGCAACGCTTCAAATCTCATGACACATCTGCGTGACCATCACCCACAACTCTACAGTCAACGCAAGGCAAGCTAACGTTAGCATTTTAGCTAAAATGCGTGATCCGAGGATTTGGGTTGAGGGAGAACACAACGAGTCGCTATATGAAGCAGCCGCAGCGCCGCTACCTGCATATAAACCGTGTTGCGGACACCGCCATGTTGAAATGACGCTATGCATTACGGGGCTCCCAGGGGCAGATAAGAGTTGGTCTCTCTCCGAGAATAATTATGAATTTAACAATGATTACTGCCTGATGACGTTTTCCCACATCTGCAAAGCTCACTGGAAGGACACAAACCGAGGACAATATTTTCATGATATAGGGTTTATTACTCAAGTAAGGGTAAAAAAGTATCTGATTAGAAGGCTACTTGAGTACTGAGAATCATCTGATCTAATATTTTTAAAAAGATGACATCAAACAGACAATAAATAAGAAGTTATGGGCAAATATTGTATTTTAAAGACTAAAGGGAAAAAATGTAAACAAATAAACAACATAATTACTAAATAACACATTTTAGGCAAAATTTAGACACAAACTGAGGACAATATTTCCTGACATACAGGGTTTATTCGTGTGAAAATGTAGCACGTTTAAAAAAAATACCGCGATAATACCGAAAACCGTGGTAATTTTGGTCACAATAACCGTGAGGTTAAATTTTCACGCCGTGACAACCCTAATACAGATCATTTTAGATTAGGTTACATTTCCTTTATTCCCAGATTATGTAGTTTGTAGCACTCATTATAATGTTGTAGAAAATTTCTGGCCAATCCACGTGATCGGTATCGGTGATCAGTGATCAGCATTCTTTGATATCGGTATCGGTGATCGGCAGCAAAAAACCTGATCGGTGCATCCCTACTTATTTTCACACAAAACCTAAAATAATGTTTCCTCCTGTTCAAAAATAAGCGCGTTCTTGGTATCAAAGTGTGTCTTTAAAACTCACGGACATCATATGTGAAATCCCTGGCACAAAACAAGCGGAATTAGAAAATAGCGTTTTTAGCCCAATTGACTTGCATTAATTTTTTCATTCTTCTGGGGACCATGGCATGGTCCGGAAGTAGATGGGCGTGGCTTAGGCTCCCTAGTAACAACCAGTACTTTTTCCGTCTTGTCACCATGCGTTTGCCTGTTTCATAGGGTGAGGGGGTGATGTGTACCGGTATTTGTTTAGTCATGTGACAGTGATTGTAATCATCTCAGAGGTGTAAATGTGTGTGGTGTTTGTGCATAATAACGTTAATTCAGCTTTAATTATTTTTTACTCTATACAAAATCTGCTGATTTTAGAAGCATTAACGTCAGTATATTGGCAATCTTAATGTCGGTATCAGCCCAAAAATTTCATATCGGTGCATCACTAAATGAAAATGAAAATTCTGACAGTTCATAAATTATTTCTTCTTCCCACCCACAGCTAAGGACAGACCTTCATTTATCAAATACACCACACATAAGCCACTGGTGATGGTTGTGTTTGTTATACATTTGCAGGTGCTGACTCAGCTGGTGAAAAGGTCTGGCAGCCATGCTGGAGTTTGGGAATCTGTATCCTTCCAGCTGCTCTTGCGTTGGGCTTTTGTGCGCTGATTGGATTCTACCTGTGCACAGGTGTGTGGTCTGTTGTATTCTATACTTCAGGTGCAGCAAAGCTGGTCAACAGTCACACTGTTAAAGCTCACATGTATTTTTTAAATCACACTTATAATCAATCATTTTTAGCCAGAATCGGATAAAAATCTTCTTGTAAATATTACTAAAGGGATGATGATGATGTCACAGGATATGTACAAGCCCCCACAATGCATGTGGAAAAATTGAAGCAAACGCAGAAATGAAATAAATTGTAGTTCCACCCTCATCCACTAGGGGCTGGTGTCAGAAGCGAGCAAATCCTCATTGACTCCCATGTTAAAAATACCAATTTCACAGCAGAAATAAACATGTTTACAGCCTGGTTCCAAAACATGTTTTTGGTTTAAATGATCTAGTTTACACTCATGACAACTCTGAGGTGGGTGAATTTTTTCTCACTCTTCTGTTTAAGTGTATTAAAAGCCTAAAATTCTGTATAATTAATGAGCATCAGATCCACGTGACCGCAGAGCTAGCTCCGGGGAAAGGCTGCAGTAGAGCCTCGGTCTGGCCTGGAAACTGTTCAGTCATTTTCAGTCTCTCAACTTAGACCATTAGTTGTAGCATTTGTGTATTCTTTTTTGGATATTTTTTGTGCAATTGTTGGACAAAGTGACTTGCTGTGGCATTAATTGCACTAATAGAGCGTCCAAGGAGTCTCCACTTATTTTTTTCGGTAAGTAAAATTATATTTATGTATTTTAGGTCACTGCCGAGCTGAGCTTAGATTTTAACATGTACTGTATAACCATGAAATGTAAATGTAATAGGGTAAAACCCAGTGCATTTAACATAATGCTGCACTTTAGAAAATGGGTTGAAATATAACATATTGGTGGAGCTGGGCTCCGACTGTCGGCTTGTGGAGCTCTCGGGAGACCTCTGTGTTCCACCCGTTCTCCCCTCCCTGCAGCTCGGCGCATCTCTGTCTGATCGCGGCTTCTGTCTGCTGCGCGGGCTGCCGCCTTTTGGAGCCCTGGATGGAAACCGATGTTTTCCACCCGGTTCTCCCCAGCGGCAGCTCAGTGCATCTCAGATCGCAGTGGCGCTTGTCTGCTGTGCGGCTGCCGGCTTGTGGAGGTCTCGGAGACCTCTGTGTTCCACCCGGTTTTACCCAGCGGTCAGCCCGGCGTATCTCTGACTCAGAAGCTCTGGTGTTGTGCACAGTTAACTCCGGTTGTAGCTAGATTGCTACCTCCGTTAGCTTAGCTCCCACCTCCGTGTTAGCTTTGGGTTAGCTTCAGGTTAGCTTGTAGCTAGTTCGACTGGGTGTCGTCAGTTGATCCCAGCCTTACAGCCCCACCCTCAGCTCCTCCTCTCTTCCCTTTTGTGGAATTGTCTGGGCTTGACGGAACCTGTGACACGGTCAAAATGGCGGTGTGGCCACCTCCCATTTTTCTTCAAAAGCGTGTTATTGGAGTCTATGGAAACCCATTGCCCAATATTTATATGTCGATGGATATGTAGCATTCCTGCATCTACATCCATGCTTTTACCGCCACCTGTTGTTGATGTACAGGAATTGCAATCTTTATTAAAACTTATTGGTTGAATTATGCATTTTTTCAATGGGAATTTTTAAAATAAAAATATTATAATTAAAAAAATATATAACTTTTTTATAGACTGAAACAAGATTGCAGTTTTCTTTCATCGCCAGAACAAATTCCCTTCTTTATGTAAACGTTGCTATAAACGTGGTTCTGACACAGCTTTTAATACATTTAATAATTCTAAATTTTATTTATTTATTTCCACTGTAACAACTCTTATGACATTAAATGTACCTGATGAATATTATAAGTTTATCTATATAAGATGCTATATTTCTTCACCAGTCCATCTAGATTGTAATTTCTACAATCTGAAAGAGTATTTTTATCTGTGTATTTATGTTCAATTTTATTGCTATCTTTATTTAAGTGAGATCTTTCTTGGATTAAAAAATATTTATATCAAAGAATATTTGAAGTATCAACAAAGTCAGTAGAAGGGATATTTGAAGAATTTAGTTTAAATGCATATGAATTGCCACTTTTACGAGTTTTACAAGTTTTGTTTGGAATGAAAGATGCAAAAGACTCGAGCATCAAAAACATCTAAGTTGTATTAAATACCTAAATGTTGGGGAGTAACTGAAATGTGCTGTAGTGCATTACAATAAAAATACAAGGATGCTTCTCCTCCATGACTTTTGAAATCCACTTTAATCGCATTCACCTTTAGATTACAAGATTCTAATTATTTTATGTGCAAACCATTGATTTTGCAAACAAGGTCCAGGTAGATGACAGATTCTGTGCGTCAAACAAGTGTTGACAGTTTAGAAAAACATAAATAACGTCAGACAAACGCCATCATACCTCACAGCAGGTGTTTCAGTTTAGAGCAACAGGAAGTTTCTGCAACTTAACATTTATTATTACTACAAACATTTACATTTGAAACAAAAACTAACGCTACATTTAAATCAGATATGTGCACACATTGACTGAAAAATTATATGTCATTGTTAGGGATTATATCAATCACCTAATACCTGCAGTCGAAGAGAAAAGAGACAATTAACCACACGTTTTACTGTTTGCAAGTCGGGGCAGATGCTCAGTCAAAAGCTTGAGGCTTACAACTGCAATGAGATTTTGCTCTTCCTGTCTATTTACTGTATATCATGAGATAAGACAGGAATGTGTGTGTGTGGGAATGAGTGAGAATGCTTGCAGGCATAGTCCATCCATCCAGTTTCTGAACCCGCTTTGTCCACGTAGGGTCGCAGGGGGGGAGGGAAGGGAGCTGGCGCCCATCTCCAGCGGTCAGCGGGCAATCAGGCGGGGTACACCCTGGACAGAGAGCCAGTCCATCGCACGGCAGCTTGCAGGCATAGTGCAATAGATAATGCATTCCGTTAATATGATTAATGATCAAAAAATAATCAAACATAAAATTTCTATAACAGTCATCGTTTAGAAATTGATACAAAATGGATACATCTGCTTGAGGAAAGTACATTCAGACATAATCAGATACAAGCGTAGCTCACAGAGTTCATCTTTCCTGTGTTCAATCAGCAGTAGATGTGTTCATCAGTTCTTCCTTCAGCTTATTTAGCAGATTTTCAGTTCTGGAAAAGACAGCTGGAGATATTTGGTTCTGCATAAAGAACTTGAGGTTTAGTGTTTGGGGTGAGAATCTAAATTTAGACATTAATGTCAGACAGAAAACTGCAGAAAGAGCTTAAATGTGAACCCTTGGATATTGCTAACTCCCTCATTTACGTTACAGAGTAAGCTTTAAAGACCACAAACAACGCATTTATAATCTTAAGTGAAAAGAATGTCGTGATTCTTTCCCAGCTGCTGCTGATGGCTGGACTCATGCCGGCTTCATCAGCAGCCCGTACGGACGGATGGACTCCTGCACAATGGCCCTTCTCTGGAGGTCGTTCTTCCCATCTGGGATGTACACCACCCAGAGGTCTTCCCTCTGGCACACCGCCCTTTTCTGGGGGTTGATGCGATTCTGAAGAACCACTTTGTAAGTCTTCCCATCCACCTTGGACTTGAAGGTCTTGCAGTACTTCTCTGCCATCTTGATATCCGGTGTGGAGTACACTCCATTTCCTGCTGTGTGCTCTTGGATGACGGAGGCAGCGCCGGCTTCCAGGAAACCTGGCGTGTCATCTGGTTTCCCTTTATGAGCCACAATGACACCAAGGGAGCCGTCTATGTTTTTTGCGTGGTAGGAGACGGGCCAGGCGTCATTACCCGTCCCGAGCCACTGGTTTCCACCACTGTACTTATCCAAGACATACAGCGCAGCTCGGTTCCATCCACAAGGGCGAATGTAATTCTCATTACCACGCAGAAACGTCTTATCACCATCCTAGGGGTCAGAAAAGATTGTTAAAGTTAATGCAAATTGGCTTATTAATCAATGTAGTCTAATGGGCCATTCCCATCTGTACCGGTTCGGCCCGGGCCGGGTAGCGTAGGTTGTTTACATATCTGGGTGGCCTGGTATTTTTCCGGGCCAACCAAGGCTCATTCTCAGCCCTCTTCTCGAGGGGGTCTGCTTCAGGCCGACCAGGGCCAACACACCCACTGCTGACAGCAAATTCACACCTTCCATTAGAGCAAGCCTCTGATTGGTGGGTAGAATCAGCCCACATGGGCTTAAGACGAGGATGAGTGGAATCAACCGGGCCAGGCTGGGGCCGACTGGGGCTACCCGGCCCGGGCTGACCCGGTACAGATGGGAATGGCCCCTAACTTGTAATATCCGATCCCAACATGCCCCCCCCCCCGCCCCCCCCCCCCCAAAAACAATGCTCTGACATCACATGTGCGACCTGTGTTCACTCTCACTTTTTTAACAAGCTCAGTTACTGTCCTGTGTAGAAGACCAAGTGTGAAGGACCATGTTAAAGGCGATTGTTGCCCACCACCTAGTTATTCCACATCTAAGGAATGGGTTTCAGCAAATACACCGGATATTTGGGGAACTACTGCCACCTACAGCATTGGCATGCAAATGAATGTACTTCACAATACACTGGATTTTTATTTATTTATTTTTTGCTGAATATATACCAGTAACTTTAGAAAAAATGGAAAACCCTCAGTACAGTAGCAGTAGCTCAGGACTTAGAGCGGATAGTCCAGTAATCGCACAGTTGTGGGATCAATCCCAGCTCCCAGCACAAAATTCTGCTGTTGTGTCCTTGGGCAAAACACTTAAACCACTTTGCCTGCTGGTGGTGGTCAGAGGGACCTGTGGCACCAGTGTACGGCAACCTCACTTCTGTCAGTACGTCCCATGGCAGCTGTGGCCACGATGTACAGTAGCTCATTGCCACCAGCGTGTGAATGGGTGAATGACTGTTTTGTAAAGTGCCTTGAGGGATCCTTAGGGTAGAACCCTAGAAGGCCATTTACAACAGACGGCTACAGCTTATCAGCCTGACTCTCCCAGAATTGACAAAGCTCCTCAGATGACAAGCAAAACACCTTCAAGGGACAGCAGTAGCTCAGGAGGGTGAGCGGGTTGTCCAGTAATCGGAAGGTTGCAGGTTCAATCCTGGCTCTGACCAGAGAGTCCTGCTGTTCTGTCCTTGGGCAAGACACTTAACCGGCCTTGCTTGCTGGTGATTGTCATAGGGACTGGTGGCACCGGTGCTTGGCAGCCTCACTTCTGTCAGTGCTCTGTCGTAGCTCATCCCCACTGGTGTGTAAATGTTTGTGTGAATGGGTGAATGACTGATTGTGTTGTGAAGTGACTTGGGGGGCTTGTAGAACCCTAAGAAGGCTCTATACAAATACAAGCCATTTACCATTCAAGACACCAAAGAAGTCCAGTTGCCTTCATTTGAGCCCTTTTGGATTACTGTGATCCCTCGCTACTTCGCGGTTCGTTTATCGCGGATTCACGACTTCGCGTATTTTTCTTTGGAGCCTTATTCAAGGGAAATTCGCTGATTCGCGGTATTTTTCTATGCGAAATATCAAGAAATTCCTGTTTTTTTTCCATCAGTTTGATCATAAAATGCACTTTTTGTAATAAAACTATAAAAAAAAAACAAGAAAAAAATTTTTTTCTTGAGTTTTACCCACAAAAAGAGAATGTGATCATACGATAATTCAATATAGTACTGTACTGTAAATATGGTGTCCCTACTTCGCGGATTTTCACCTATCGCGGCCAGGTCTGGAACGCATCTACCGCGATAAACGAGGGATCACTGTACATCTGAATGGATTAGTTACAAAAACATCTCACATCTCTCAGAGTTGTCATGACTGTAAACTTGACCTGTTGGGGGAGGGGGTATTCATTTTCACACTAACTTGGCTGTATGTGTACATGGCCTCAGTATTTAGTGCTACTTTAAACAACAACCGATTTTCCACAAGCAGCAGGTTAGAGCTCAGTAGGGTTGGAAATCAGTCTCAGCCCTCATTATCAGAAGAGTTACATCTGTACTTTATTAAAGATTAGTTAGAAATCTCAGTGATCTTGAACCCAAATCAGACCTACAAATCTCAGACTGAGACAAACCAGCCAACACTGCTATGTGATGTAGGACCTCTGGTCATGTGACGAGTTACCTAACCAAACATAAAAGGCTTCCTCTGCTTACCTTAATGTTGGTGAAATCATAATCAAACTGAGGATGGAAGAAGTCCTGGAGATTAATTTGCACCTTGGGTTTGAGGCTCTCCCCAGGTCCTTCGGTCAGAGGCGGAGGACTGCTGTACAAGTCCTCATCGTCATGCACAGATAAAGTCCCAATACTTGGATATTCCAGCTCCTGAAATCCCTGCTGTTTGTAATACTTCCTCAGGGCTACAGCAGTAATAAAATCATGAGGGGTTATCTGTGAAGATCCAGTTGTTGACTCCACATTGCAGCCAGAAAGAGCTGACAGGGCCTCCAACAACAGCTTAGTGTCTGGCATTGTGCTGAGAGTAAACGCAGGAAGGAAGGCGGTTTTCTCACCCTTCAGGGAAAGACGGAACAGCTGTCGGTTCTAGACCTTGTTTCAATGAGCTGAGCTCACATCCAGTCTTTAAAATATGAAGAAAAGTAAGAGGTTGTTTTTTTGTGCTGCACTGCCCTAAATACCAGCTCCTCTCAGTTTCACTTTCACTTTCAGCACTTCCTGTAAACGGGGTCAGTGTGACGCTGGGTGTGGTTGTGCTGGACTAGCTGCTGCTTACAGCTTCTGTCTGCATCCAAAACTAGTTCATCTTAAACACTGATCATCATTTTATTAGAAATACTTTGTCTGTGTAACTTTTTTGGACTAATTAACAACTCTAAACCAGCCAGATTTTCATAAACACTCACACCATTTAAACAAATTATTCTCAGTTTAACTAAGGATTCAAGCAACAGTTGAGAAGAATGGGAGGACAACTAAAGTATGTTTGCTCCCCAAACTCACATAAGAGATATTTATTAATAATAGTAATATTAATGGAGGGATTATGTCTCTCGGTCTTAAGGACCAGGTTTAAAAGCCCTGATAAAACATTCAAACATGTACAGATATGCTTCTTTGCATTCTAAATGTTAAATATTAACCTCAAACCCACTTTTATCTCACACTTTTATCTCACTTTGCCTTCAGGTATGCTGGTTGGGTGCCGCTGTAAGCCTCTCAGACAATGTTCCACTTTCAGGGTCACAGAGGTCAGCATCTTACACAACACTGGTGGAGGAATGAATAATTCCTGTGGGGAAGTTCATCTAACTGTCGTTAGTGAAACTTGTTTAGTTAAAACTTATTTAATTAACTGTTTTCAACTTTTTTAAATTCAAAGTAAAATCGTAACATTACTAATCAGCTTTCCTCTGCAGGAAGAGGATTTGCATTATTCCACTCTGAGACATCAAGACATGCCCCGCCCCCTTGGCAGAGGAGGACGTGGATTGGTGGCGGAGCCCGTCACATACTCAACAATGACCACACGGAAACACGTGACTGGATCGCATGAAAACAAATAGTCCTCTTCCTGCCTGCTTCTACATCCCGCATGAGCTCAACGACTTGGTGTTGTGTGGTGGGGTGAGTACTCCTCCATCTCTAGAACATCTTTGAGTTCTTCATTTCAGGAGAGGGAGCTCACCAGCTGCGGGGTATCAGTAATCAGCGGCAGCTGCAGCTCCTCAGGTCATCCGCAGCAGCTGCAGCTCCTCAGGTCATCCGCAGCAGCTGCAGCTCCTCAGGTCATCCGCAGCAGCTGCAGCTCCTCAGGTTATCCGCAGCAGCTGCAGCTCCTCAGGTCATCCGCAGCAGAGCTCTATTTAAGAGGAGAGGGAACTACTACACAGCGCTGGATGATTAGCTACTCACGGTAGTATCTGGCCTCTCGTTCTAGGATGCTTGGTTTCTACAATGATAATTGGCTGATACAGTTCTTGGAAATTTCTTGGATCATTCTTGGACTCTTGTGTTGGATTTTTTTGGACTCAAGTTTGTATTTCTCTCCAGGATTTTTGGACAATCTTCCCTGACACTCTGGGTTTGTTGGATCTGATCCTCCATCCGAGAAGCGGAACCAGTACTGCATTACTCACCTGGAAAGAACCATAACCTACCTGGACTTCACGGTTCGCCTCTCCTCTTATCCTCTGCCACCCCGCCTGGCTCCCTCTCCTGGACTCACCCCTTCACTTTATCTGCCCTCCTCGACCTCCTCCTGCAGGATTTTGGACTCTCTCTGGCTCCAGCTAATCTGGGTTTATTCTAGGGACACTTTTTGTTAGATTCCTGTAATAAATCATTGTTTTGAACTTTCCACCCTTTCTTGTGATGATTCTTCGTGTCGTGGGTTAAACACATTCCCAGGAACATGACACTTGGTTGAAAATGTCTGCTGTAAAGTAAAAAACGTTTTTATCTTTTTTTTAGATTATCTGGCATTTTACAGTTTATTCTAATCCTTGCTGCTTTAAGGTTAATCTACAAGCTGTTTAGTTGTTTACATTTAAAGTCCTTTAACTGGTCTAGAAATTGTGTTCTGCTTCATTTTTTTTCTCACCAGATTGTAAATATCAGCAAAAATGTATATGTAAATATGAGGTGAATAGATAGGAAGCGTCAACTGTTTTTAACTCGTATTCTATTTTAATGTCACATTTATTTCTCTCAATGACCATGATAATAATACAGTACATTCATTCAAATGTCTCCAATCTCTTTTTTACCATTTAATAGGTTAAATCTGTTAAATTCTAACGTTTCTAAAACTCTTAAATTCTTCAAAACCAAAAGACAATTGCTTTATTTCAGAGGTGTGGACTCGAGTCAGATGACTTGGACTCGAGTCAGACTCAAGTCATTATTTTAATAACTTCTGACTTGACTTAATAAAATCTATAAAGACTTATGACTTGGCTCAGACTTGAACGCCAATGGCTTGCGACTTGAATTGACTTGCATCTGTTGACTTGATGACTTGAGCATATTCGATATTTTACCCCAAAAGTGGCAATTAAATTGTCATATTAAAGTTGGACAGATGACTTGATTGTGACTTGAAAATTCAAAGTTAAGGACTTGGACTTCCACATTATTGACTCTGGACTTGACTGGAAAGACTTTTGACTTGTTTACACCTCTTTATTTAGTCAATGTCCTTTTATTTTTATCTTTTAAATGTTTGCAGACAGCTGGACTCAGCAGAAGGTGTTTCTCGCTGCAGGTCTGGTGACGATAGAGGAATAAATAACTTGATTGTGGTTCTGATCCGGCGGAGGAGAGTTGGGCCTCTGCTTCCAGTTCTGTCGGCCCAGAGAGGCGTAGTGGATCGTCTCCTCCAGCTGGGACGGCCTCTCAAACTTCTCATACTCTGTAGACAGGCAGAAATGCTGAATTATTTCCCTTTAGAGCTGCTGTGACTGCTTATTTCCTGAAGATGTTACCGGTTTGTGAGCTTGATGTTATCCACAGCTGCAGCTCTGTGTCCACGTGTCCCTTTTCTGGTGAAACAATATCGTATATGAATATTATCAGCTGATGTGTTTCACCCTGTTTAAAAAAACACTTTTATCATCACCTGCATATTTGTACTTCCTGTTTCTTCTTCTGCGCTTGGTGCTGATGAGTAAAGCACAGACGGTGAGCAGTGAGATGGTCATTAACACGAACCCGGAGACTGCGACCAGCATCAGAACTGGAGAGGTCAGAGAAAAAGTTTAAAAGATCTGGAAGGAAAAGAAAGACGATTTAAAAGCAACGGTTGTTGTCTGAAGCAGCTGACCATTCTCATGTTTCTTCTTTGTCTTATTTTTGACTTCAGCTGCATCTGGAATAGAAAAGGAACTTTTGTTTTGTATTAAATTATAAAATGAGGTCTAAAATATTTCGGAGAAGAGAAGATCCTACCGGTCCTCGTTCCAGATGATGCTGTTGTTCGGGACGACGCGGAGACGAATGGATATGAATTTTCTGATTATAAAAACAATTATTTTACATTAATCGCTGACAACGTTAAGGACTAAAGTACGAGTACTTTAATATACCCTGGAAAAACTTTTATTTTTTATTAAATTCATGATTGCACACTTATAATAATTTCTAACATTTAATTAATTAAAATGTAACTAGTTATATAAAAAACCTGTGGGATATGAAGGCAAAAAAACTGCTTGAAATTATAATTATTAATTATGTGATACATTTAAAGTCAGATCAACCAAAAAAATGAAACTGGTGACTTCAATCAAAAATCAGAAACAAATGTAAGTATTTGAGTGTGATTATACTGAAAGTAGGTTAATCCCAGTTAGCCGTACCCTCCAGGACAGAGACCCTTGCCTGCAGCACACCGTTACACTGATACTCTCCAGCGTCCTCTGGCTGCAGGTCTCTGATCTGCAGAGCATTGTTCATGTAGCTCAGCCGGTCTCCGTCCCGCTCTGGCTTCTCCGTACCATTCCTGAAGCGGGTGAAGATGACCTCTTTCTTTTCTCTCCCCCTCTGTCGAAACCACCTCTGTTTGGTTTTGGAGGAGCCTCTGCAGGGGAGCAGGAGAGTCCAACCTGCAGACACCTGAAAGTCGTTGCCTAAAATTGGGAGGAAATGTTAGGAATAATTTATATTTGTCACACTGTGAAGCAACTTATCCTTCAAGTTTCATTTAATGCAGCACTAGCGAGTTTTTAACACTTTAGATGTGTTGAAAACCAGAAGCACCTGGATCAGCACAGATAAGTCTGCTGAAGCAGAGAATGGCAGCAGACAGAAGATTTTTCTTGATATTTGGTCATCTTGCCTCAGATTGGATAGCAGCGACGCAACACTAACTCTGCTCAGTGACATGGATGTTTTATCTTCACAAATAATACGAGCCTGGAGGAGATTCTGCCGTGTGGCGGAGTTGCTAATGCTAACAGACGGCTTCTGCTAACAAAATCCTTTCCTGTCGCGAGCCAGGGTGAGTCCAAGCGACTGCTTGACATTGAGCGTTCAGGCTTTTAAAATACAAGCGTTTCACCGTCTATTTTTTATCTGAAGCTGAAGCAGGCGATGGATGTAGGAGACCATTTTCATGTTCACCCTGCATGAAATGAGTGACAGATTAGGCTATAGTCAGAAATATTCATTAGAATTTTTTTTCAGTGTTCCACACCCTTTCAACCTGGTTTTAGTGGTTCTTGAGCCACAAACTTGAGTGTTAGGTATTTTTATTAAATGTTCATTTTGCTTGGTCTGTGAATCTTCCTTTGTGTGGGGGGTGATGGGTCTCTGTACCTCTGTAACCCGAGAAGGCCCCACTTTCTCCATCCTTTGCTGAATAAAACCACTGGAAACTCTGAAGGAAGGGGGAGTCGCATGGCATCTAGCTCTGGAGAGGGTTAGTGTCATTGGTGGTCTCCCCCTCATTTGGAATTCAGTGTAAAATGTCTCCCTTTTGTGGTGTGTGTTTATTTCAGGTTCAAGGGATATGGAGAAGTACAAATTACCCAACATTTAATTACCCAACATTGAGTACTTCACATGGGATAGCAGTCTGTAGGTCTCTGATGACCAGAAACTGCACTTAACCGATTGTGGTTCTGGTAAGAACACCAGTGGGAGGTTTCTACCTGCTTTACCACTAAATACAAAAATTAGAAGTTAGCTTTTTCAGTTCAGTGATCGTCAATAAAAAATAAGCAAGAAGAAGATGTTTGCGTTTTGTTGGCATTTTGGCTGAGCCTGGAAGTAAAATTAGGAGAATGTCTTTGAAACAGAAGCAAGGACCTAAAACAGCCTACACTCGTTTTAGGGAGCTAAAGGAGACTATGCATACAAAGACTGATGGTGACCTAGCTTTGTTGTTACTGGACTTGTGTGTCTTGTCTGTGGCTCACATTAGCATTAGTTCATTGTTAGCGCTAGCTACAGCAGGCTGCAGAGTTCCCACTTTTAACCAATAGGAGGGAAAGGTGGGAAACATGTTGCTTTAAAGGAAACAAAAGTCTCTCATCAGACCTGTGAGGACCTGCAGCTCGGCCACCAGCTGCTGGTTACATTGATACTCTCCTCCATCTGAGTCGTCCAGCTTCAGTAGACAGAGGCCTCCATCCATTAACAGGAGGTAACGTTGCCGGTCCTGGTTTGTCTGGCTGCTGCCTCGTCGGGTCACCAGGACCTTCGTGTTCTGGTGTGTCCAGATCACATCTGGACCCTGACATGGCAGACAGACGTGGTGATCCTCTGGAACCGAGAACTGGGTCACTGAACTGTCCACGTATCCGAAGCTTCGTGGACCTGAAACTGTTCAAAATGAACAAAATAATACCTGTCTTATTATTTAACTTCCTCTGCTAAAAGTTTTACTTTATCCTAAATCAGAATTGTAGGAATGCATTTTATTGTTGTAATAGAGTTTAAATCCAGATGTTACCATGCATCATGTATAGTAAACATGTAATAGCTCTTACTGACTTCAGTAATAAACAGAGACTCACAATTCCTGTTTATTATTTAAATAATTTGGAATTAAACATTTTGAAGGCAACAAATTAATTCCTGGAGTTATTTCACAACATTTTTCTATATTTAGATGACACCAATGTTAGCTTTATTATTGTCTTCATGCTGTTTCCTGTTTTATCTGCATTTCCTGTTTTATCTCATGGAAACATGAACACGTTAAACCAGTCAGACTAAAATAACAACCACACTGAGAAATATTGTCACAACTCAACTTTAGGGTTTATGTACCATTAAACGCCTTTGTTGTCCAGGAATTGGCTGAAAAATGTAAAATAATAAATTTTTGCAAAACCAAATGAGTTTATTCCTAACAACTGTTGATTGGACAAACTAATCTGCATGTTTACTTGATCAACAATAACTGAATTGTTTTAACAAATTAAGTTTATATACAATAAATAAGCAATGGGACAAGGAAATCATTATAACTGTGCAAAAGCTCCATAACAATACTGCAGATATGAAGTATTTAAAACAACATGTTTAAAACGTACCTGTGGTGTTTTCTATGCTGTAGATCACATCAGAGTGTATTAGCCAAATAAAACAAATGATCATAAAACTGAGCATCTTTAGAATGATAAATAAAAGCAGGACTGAAGAGCTGCTGCTGGTTTCCCTAAAACAGGAACCTAAGGTCCGTCACAGCCTGGTTTTCCACTTCCTGATGCGTCTCCTTCCTCTTTCTCTAGACACTAAAACAAACTGAGGGTTTCTGTTCTGGAAAGTATGACAACAAATCTCAGCGATAACTTTTATTTATTCTAATAACTGTTTATTCTAATAGACTTCCCAAGTCTACTACAATCAACAGTCTCAATGATTACAGACCCATAGCACTCACACCGGTGGTGACCAAGTGCTTTGAGAAGCTGGTGCAAAAACATATCAACGACTTCCTCCCAGCCAGCATGGATCCCTGCCAGTTTGCATATAAAGCAAACAGGTCTACTGAGGATGCCATATCTAATGCTCTCCACTCCTCTTTGCAACATCTGGAGAACCCCCGGCACCTCCGTTAGAATGCTTTTTATTGGTTTTAGCTCTGCTTTTAATACCATAATCCCGAATATCCTTGTAGCCAAGTTGATTAATCTGAACCTCCCCCCTACCACCTGTGGCTGGATCAAAGATTTCCTCACCAATCGCCCACAGGCTGTCAGGTTTGGTGATAAGCGGTCATCCACTCTGATGCTCAGCACGGTACCCCTCAGGGCTGTGTGCTAAGCCCCCTGCTGTTCACCATCTACACCCATGACTGCATTCCTATTCATCGCTCTAATAAGATCATTAAGTTTGCAGATGACACCACTCTTGTAGGTCTTATCCATAACAACAATGACGCAGCATACAGAGATGAGGTTTGCCATTTATCAGAATGGTGTGATGATCATAACCTCTCTCTTAACATCAAGAAGACCAAGGAGATGGTTATTGACTTCCGAAGGAGTAAGGATGCCCCCCGCCCTCTCTGCATTAAAGGAGCTGAGGTGGAGAGAGTTCCCTCCTTTAAGTTTCTCGGGATTTACATCTCTGAGGATCTGTGATGGACAATCAATACCACTGCCTTGGTCAAAAAAGCACAACAGCGGCTGCACTTCCTGAGAGTCCTGAAGTGGAATAGGCTGCAGACCAACCTCTTGGTGTCTTTTTATCGAGCAGTTATTGAGAGCGTGATGACTTACGCTATCCCTGTGTGGTACGCGGGGTGCACAGTAGCTGATAAAAACAGATACCAGAGGGTCATTAGAGCGGCGGAAAAGGTGATTGGATGCACCCTTCCCTCCTTGGACACTATCGCCCTGCAGAGGTGTCTCACTAGAGCAAGTACCATCTCCAGGGACATTTACCACCCAAACCACTACCTTTTTTGCCATGCTGCCATCTGGGAAAAGATTCAGATCCCTCAGCTGCAGGACCGACAGACTGAGGAAGAGTTTCTTTCCCTGGGCTGTTAGAACCCTGAATGGACAGAAAAATCAACCTTATTGATATTATTTATTGTATTTTGTAATGTTTTTGTTTTTATTGCATGGTGTATATTGTACTTGTTTTAGCTATTTTTCTTAGTATTTTTAGCGGATGCCTAATGTGGAGCTCTAGGAAATTTCGTTGAATGTGCAATCATTTAATGACAATAAAGGATATCTAATCTAATCTAATCTAATCTAATATGGATGATTAAAGAAGGATAACTCACCAAATTATAATCTCAGAGTCTTATAATAAAGTCTCATGCAAGGATTGTTTATTTGAAGACAAAAAACACATTTGAGCTTAAAGTTTATACATCAGATACATAATTTATGCATTTTTTCTTTCTCTGTTTCTTCTTTATTGAAAATTATGCAAACTAAAAGCATTTTAAACATTTCAAAGGAAATAAATGACAAAAAAGCAGACAGCGCTACAGGAAAATGACAAGAAAACATTTAAATACATATCCAGGCATAAATGTTTAGGCATTAAACTGATCTTCATTCTGAACTTTGTTCTCCTGTCAAAACAAAACAAAAAACAATACATTTATCTAAAACTTCATTGAGAAGCGTTCAGTGATTCTAGTGTCACCAAGTGGCTACTTTAGGTACTGCAGTTATTTTTCTGGCCTTGTTTTTGTTACAAAAATTGAAGAAAGAAATTTGTTATTTAGATTTCTCACCTTAGTTCACGTCATCACTGACGTCACACCGTTTATCTACAAGGAACTGCAATTAGCTTCACAAACTACAAACCTGGTTTAAATCAAAAGGGAGTCGTGAATAAAGGCTTTCACCTCGTCTGTCTGATCTTCCTCTCCAGGCGAAGTAGATGATGATGATGATGGTCAGGAGGATGAGGATTCCTACTTTCACTTTCACGCTAATAGACAGGTACTTGTCTTGGCGTGTGGTTGTGTCAAGTACGTCTGCAGGATTAAAACAGAAACGAGAACACTGATGGAAGCGGTTTGATTGATGCTTCTGGTGTGTTAATGTTAGAAATGATGTAACTGTTTCTTTGTCTTTGCATCTTTAGTTTTCATACCTGTTCTTGTGTTTGTTGTTGTTTCAGACGTGGAGGCGGTCCCAGATATCTGTGTGACTGTTTTTGTCGTCATCTCTGTTATCATCGAGGTGGTCATCCTGTTGCCTGGTGTGAACATTTTCAGAAACATGTTAAACTTCCAGTGCTTTAGCAGAACATGAACTTGCTTTACAACATTGATTATGTCCTTTTATTAGATAATTAATAAGATTCTTTTTGTTTCAGACATGTAAGGCACCTGCGAGTGTCGCACGTGCGATTCCCTTCTCCAAAATACCACCTTGATGTTTGTTGTTTTGGGTCACTTTCAGATAAACGGCTGGTTTTCCATTACAGAAGTACAGTCCAAAGTCAGAGAGCTGAACTTGTGTGATTTTCAACTTTTCTCCCCCAGGAGGAACAGCAGACCTGATGCGTTCTGGTTTTCCAGTGGTTTCTCTGCTCCATGACGGTTTATATCCCTCAGAAGCATTCAAGCATTTTATAGTTGTGTCCTTTCCTTCTTTAACGGTCTGAGTCCTTGTTCCTGTGAAGAGACACAGATTAAATATTTACAACTGACTGATGCAGACAGAGGTTCTCTAAATTAGTGATGAATAAAGTGGAAAATGAAAGATATTTTCAAATAAAATGAATTTTATAAAGTTTGTTACCGGATGGGATCACTGTCAGCTCCACAGCTGATTCATCGTTACAGAAGTATCTTCCAGAGTCTGAGACGTCAACATTCATTATGTATAGTGACTTATCATGTTGTGCATCATACATTTTATTGGGGTCTTTAATGTGTTTTATGGTTGTGGAGCCATCATTTGTAAGTATGTCTTCTTTAATCCCATTTCTCTCCACGCTCCATGTCACGATGTCCCCCCCAGGGTGACCACAAGATAAAGTGATCGACTTTGTCTCTTTAACGGCTTCATGGGGTAAATCTGTGAAATAAACACAACTTCTTAGCGGTACATCTCAAGTTGCAGATCGGTGCCGTAAATACAACTGAACATGTGGTTTTTACATTGATCAGCTGTTAATTACGTGTCTATCTAAAGTGTAACATAGATGCACTGTGGTACATTTTAAAAGCAAACGCAAAGCATCTAACGGTCTCCACTCCATTCCCGCAATTACTAAAACTTACAAAAACTAATTTGATCAGGAGAACTTTAGTGTCTCACAGGATTCGTCTGAACCACTCTTACCTGCAGCGATGTGAGGCGCCAGAACAAAGAACAGGATGTTCACCCTCATCTTTACAAGCTGAACTGTTCATCAGAAACTGACCACAGTTATCTGGTCTGGAACATCTGAGCATGCTCACAATTTATTTTAACACCAGTTTGTTTGTTTTTTCTTTTGGTGGTAACTTAACTCTTCAAAAAGTCCACGAGTGTCTGCATGTGTTCTGGGTAAATATAAATATGAAAAAAAAAAATGCAGCTAACAGGAAGTCCTTTATGTTGACGTGCACGTGGTTACAGAGTTGGATATGAATATATTTTTGCAGAAGTTGCGCAGCCAACTTTCTAAAAGCAATCTTTTTAAAGCTTTCTGTTAGAATAGTGACATCTAAGACAATAAACATATTGAATCAGCAGTGGGTGCTAATGCAAGACGGAAATAAAAGTTATAAACCTTGTTTTTCTAAGTTTTACAAAAAAATTTAAAAATACATTTGAAGACACACAAAACAGTCAACAGCTTTTTTTCAGCTCACTGTTGCTGATCAAAACCTGAAATGTTAATTATCAAATTTTTATTTTTATTTTAGGCTTCAGTGTGTTTGCGTTTGGAAAATTTTCATTCTAAATAAAAAAGGTTTTCAGATTTATTGAAAATCAATCATGAAAATGGAATGTTATGAAAAATGTGAACACATGCAGCAAAAAAAGTAAAAAAAAAAAAAATCTTTTGTGATTCAGGATTAAACACAAGATGTAATAGTTTTAGTGTGCAGGCAATAGACAGAAAACACCACTTAAAGTGGGCAATGTGTTGTGTGGTTAGGGCCAAAACGGGCCGGCCGCACTGATGGACCCTGGTATCAGGTAGTGTGTGTTTGTGTGCATTTGAAGCTAGGTAACAAAGAGATAGAGCAGGTAGAAGAAGCAAGACTGTTGGGGGTAATTGTGGATTCTAGATTGTCATGGACTAGTCACATAAATCATGTCCTGCTGAAACTTGGAAGAAGTATGGGCACAATCAAATATTGTTGTAAATTTATTCCTCGTTTGCAGATAAAAACTTTAGTTCAAACAGTACTGTCTCATTTAGATTATGCATCAGTTATTTGGTCTAATACAAGTGAAATGAATTTAAATAAGTTACAAGTGGCACAAAATAAAGCTGCACAAATTATTCTGGGTTGTAATTATAGAACAAATGTAAGTATGATGCACGATAGGTTGGCCTGGTTAACAGTGAAATGTAGATTAAAGTATTCACTGATCACATTTATAAGAAATATAATAACTACAAAAATACCTAAAATAATTTATGACAAATTATCATTTTTTTCAGACAATCATGATTACATGACTTGACAGACAAGTGACATAAGGTGCGCACTACCGCGCTGCAGAACTAATCAAAGGCAAAGAGCGGTTTATTGCAGAGCCACGGTTGCATGGAATGCCATACCAAGATTTTTGTTATCAGAGAGTAACAGAAGATGTTTTCAAAAGAAGTTAAAGCTTTTTTTGTTTACACAACAGTAAATTTTGCACAGTGAATTGTAATTGTGACTGATATGACAGCTTCTATAATTTTTGTTTGTTATGGATGTGATGTGATATGATTTTTGATTCTTGGATATATTTATTTATTGCTCTGTGTAAACTCTCCGTTTTCACCTATTTAGATTTTTCATGAACGCTGAAGTGTGTGGTAACTTACTGGTATATCATCATTGCAATTGAGCTGGTATGATTATAATGAGCTCCTGAGTTTGTTGTTGTTGGGTGTGTGTGTGTCTGTGTGTGTGTGTGTGTGTGTGGGGGGGGGGGGGGGGGGGGGGGGGGTTTGTAAAATATTTGTAATGAAATTGAAAGAGACCTCAGGAAGAATAGCTCCACACTATGGTGTGAGCTAATGAGGTGCTCAATAAATAAATAAATAAACAAATAAATAAATGAATACCACTGCACGTTTATTGTAAGTGTAGCTAATTCCTGTGGTGGTGTCATGGGAGGCGAGCAGTAATGATTGCTGCTGCTTCAAGGGCCGTTCGGGTGTTGGCTCATCCTGTGGGAAGCACGGTTGTATCCATTTTATCTCTGTACATTCAGCCTGCTTTTAATTAGTTTAGTAGTAGTCACTCTTAGAATTAATCTCAAGCTTGTTTTATAAGAGTGGACCCGTGTTTTTCCCTTGGTTGTGGCCCACTGTGGATAGCTGCAGTTTAAAAGAGCCTTTTTGATGTGTTTTACTTCTAGTTTACAGTCTTGTTCCTCTCTCATTAGAGCATTTCATTTTTGTAGTGGGCAGACTACTGAACGTTTGTGTATGATTGGGCGTTCTGATGACCATAATAGGTGTTGATCTGTGTAAGTAGGCTTTTTGTGGATTTCAATCCTAATTTTCTAAAGGTCCTAGAGTGCCATGCACTTTAGTAATTGTTGAGTTTCCCCAAAGTAAATATCTGGACAGTCCTCACCACATTGTACTGCATAAACGACGCCACTGAGCTTCTGTTTGGGTGTTTTGTCTTTTGGATGGACCAGTTTCTGTCTGAGGGTGTTGTTGGGTTTATGTTGTGTTTGGAGAAGATTCTTTCTGAGCGCTCCTTTTCTGTGGCCGTCTCCAAGTTTAGGTCCTCCACCACCTCTCTTACCCATGGTGTCCCACAAGGTTCTGTGCTGGGGCCTCTGCTCTTCCTCCTCTATCTGCGTCCTTTTCAGCACATCCTGAGCTCCTTCAAAGGAATCTCCTACCATCTTTATGCAGATGACATTCAACTGTGCATCTCCTTTAAGCCCCATGAGATGTCTAAGCTGCAGCTGTTACACACCTGCTTAGATTCTATTAAAACCTGGATGGCTGGGAGCTTTCTTCAGCTGAATGAATATAAGACTGAGATCCTCATCTGTGCCCCAGACAAGCTGGATCCCAATGTCAGAGACTCTCTTGGTCAGCTTGCTTCTCACACCAAACCTTCTGTCAGGAATCTTGGCATGACCTTTGACCCAGCTCTCACCCTGGATTCTCATGTCAGTTCTCATGTTCGCTCTTCCTTCTTCCATCTCAGGAACATTGCTGAGTCCCATTCTGTCCCGCTCTGAACTTGACACAGTTCTCCACACCTTCATCTCCTCACGCTTAGACTACTGTAACTCTCTTTTCACGTGTCTGAGCAGAACCTCCCTGAACCATCTACAGGTGGTTCAGAACGCCTGTGCTCGGCTTCTGACCAAGTCCTCCAAACACACCCACATCACCCCGCTTCTCCTCCAGCTTCACTGGCTGCCAGTCACCTTCAGGGTTCATTTCAAGATCCTGGTTCTGGTCTATAGGGCCTTACATGGACAAGCACCATCTTACATTGGTGATCTTCTCAGTCCCTACACCCCCAGCAGGTCCCTGAGGTCCAGTGATCAAAGCCTACTGGTTGTGCAGCACCAGGCTAAAGACCAAAGGTGACAGATCATTTGCTGCTGTGGCCCCCAGACTCTGGACCTCTCTCCCCCTGAGCCTGAGATCAGTGGACTCAGTGGTCTCCTTTAAAAAGCAGCTGAAGACTCACTTGTTCAAGCTGGCTTTTGTATGACCTTCTTCACCACTCTCTCTTTATTCTGCTCTCCCCACCTATTCCACCTTCCTCAGGATCCACTGATTTCCCTCTTTCCTGTTCACTCTCTCTCTCTTTCTTAACATTTTTTTTAAATCACAATTGCCTATTTTTGCTCATTTTAATATATTTTTAAAAATTTTCTAAATTCTTTTTTATATTTTTACAATTTTTATTTTTGTGAAGCGCCTCGTGATTTTTATCTTGAGAGGCGCTATAGAAATGATATTTTCTTCTTCTTCTTCCTCTTCTTCTAAGTTTCTCTGAGACTCCTGCTACATATGGGATGACGGTGCCTTTGTGCCCTTTTCTCTGCTGGTTGCTGCTTTGGATGCTTTCCTAGACATTTGTTAATTTCACAAAGGCCCAGTTAGGGTATTTGCAGTTTTAGACAAGTGTCTTTATATGTTTCTCTTCCTTTTGTTTTCCTTCAGTCTTTGTGGGAATATTCTCGGCCCAATGGTGTAAAGTCCTGATGACTGACATTTTGTTCTTCAGCGGGTAATACTGGTCTGTGTGAGTTGGTTTCCCGTAGACTTCAATGCTGAGACTTCCATCTTGTTCAATTTGCACAACACAATCCAAGAAGGCAGTTGGTTGTTGTGGGAATCCTCCCTGGTGAACTTGATGTTCTTGTCCATGGCATTAATATGCTTGGTAAAGTCTTCTACTTCCTTTATGATATTTTTGACCCATGTGCCGTCCACATATCTGAACCAGTGGCTCGGTGTTGTTCCACTGTAGGAGTCCAATGCTCCACTTCCTCCTGGTTGGCGACGATAAGTGACGATAGGTCATTTCTGTGTTTTGAGGCTGTGAATTGTAGTAAATACACTGTGTTTGAGACCAATTATTTCTGTCTAAAGTAGCTTAATTTGGATCATTTTTAGAAAAAAGATAAACCTCAGAGTGTTTCAGTTATATCAAAACTGAAAAGTTCTTGCAAGTCAACCTGGTTTAAAAACACAACAGAAAGGCAAATTTGTTCATTTTCCAGCTAAGATACATGATGAGAGTCTGTGAGACAGAAAAACAAAAACAAAACAGTGTTTACTTCATTTAAAAAAATCACTAAACTTTCTGGACTCCCATTCAACTTCAATTGCAAAAGTCTAATTACAATAAGGTATACAATCTCATTGGATTCATTTGAACTATTCTTACCTGCAATGACATGAGACCCCAAAACAAAGAAAAGCAGGATGTTCACCCTCATCTTCACAGACTGAACTGTTTATCAGAAACTGACCACACTTTATATCTGATCTGAGCCAGAAGGTGTTCACATTTTATTTTTGTTCCTCACAACAGCTTCTGTTTATGGTTACTAAACTCTGGTCACCAAATGGCGGAGTCACTTCCTTCTCCGTTTATCCGCGGGCAGCAGAGGACGGTATTAAAAAAACAACTTATATTGCATTCAGAAGAAAAACATAGAATGTGCAAAAGATACACCTTTTGCTTGTAAAATACACAAAGTTGGGCAGTTTATACACAGCAAAAAAGCATGTGTTAAAAATGACATGTTGTGTTATTTTTTATCACGTGCTGATTGTGATCAGGGACGACACGTGTATTAATTTCAGCACATTACAAGTGTAAGCCATTACAGTGATCCCTCGCTACTTCGCGGTTCGTTTAGCGCGGATTCACGACTTTGCGGATTTTTTCTTTGGAGCCTTATTCAAGGGAAATTCGCCGATTCGCTGTATTTTTCACCGATTCACGGTATTTATCTATGCGAAATATCAAGAAATTCCTGTTTTTTTTCATCAATTTCATCATAAAATGCACTTTTTGTAATAAAACTATAAAAAAACAAGTAAAAATACAGTACTATGTAAAGGGAGGGTTTTAAAAGTCTGAATATTCAATACGTACCTGTTAAATAAATACTGTAAATATGGTGTCCCTACTTCGCGGATTTTCACCTATCGCGGCCAGGTCTGGAACGCATTTACCGCGATAAACGAGGGATCCCTGTATACATTACACATTAAGTGTAGCTTTTAATGTAAATTAGTCAAACAAACAAAAATTAGGACCACTTTAAAAAAAGTTTATTTTTTC